ATTTTTCACCGTCCAAAAATCAGCGGACAATAACAGCACTACAAACACAAAACTCGTGATGAATGAATTGATGAATATACCGCAGAACATGTACATAACGATGGCCATGCCACGGAAAAACAAGTGGAAAAATGCGACATATGGATGCCTGTTGGGAAATAGAATACACGCTCATTTTCAAAATCACTAAAAATCAAAGTAAAATTTCGACTCACGGTAATTTGCCGGATTGATATTGTTCTTCCTCGCCAAATGGGATCGTGTCATCGTTCGCAAAAGGTGCCTTTTATTTTTCATGGAAACAAACAATTCATTTTGATGACGACAACAATTCAAGTATGATCTATTTACTTATATCGGAAGAAAAAATTGAGCTACGATTCCACTTACACTTCCAACAGTCGTCATTTCCTACGTATTTGATGTTCAACAATGATTTTGAATGGTTATCACAATAATTTACGAGATAAATCCTATTTTTTCATCACAATTTTCGATTTCAGTGAAAATGTTTTTATTAAACGTCAGTATGTGTGGTGATTCAGTGACAGAGCCCGTGAGCCTTCCAATGCTTTTGACAGTTGTAACATATTGGAAACGTTGAGAGAACCCCATTTTCCACTGGAACGGTATTGATAAGCATACAAACACATCGTCAGGCTAACAGTGTACGCGTGTGTGAGTGTGTGTAAAACGTATGGAAGAATAAGAAGAAGAAGAAGAAGAAAAAACGAGATGCAAGAAAAATATCCGAAAACATTCAAAGTGAAGCTCTAGCGAGCACCAACCAAAATAGTTCGATCTTTTTGGTGCAACAAAATCTGACGAAAAAATATGTAACAAACAGCTGATTTGACAGAAGTGTGAGTTTGAGAGAATTTGATCGTAAAAAAGAACGAATATTTGTGTTAATTTCGGAAATCAGCTTATGCAATTCGGGTGAGCCCAGCCACACTAACAAACGCAGTTCAAAAAAAAGTCGCGCTCATTGCTCACGCAAAATGTTCGAAGCATTCAATTTGTAGAGTTTTTTTCTGGGTTTTTGCTATTGCATTTACTGTGTGTGTCAAAATAGAGAAAAGAAAAAAAAAACAAAATTGGTTCATCCATTAAAAAGTGATATCGATGGTCGACGAACCAGATGAAAAGCATCTCCAAAGTGAGAAAAAACCAACTGATAGCACCACCATCACCACCAATTTAGGTTACACAACGAAAGAAGCACTAAAAGTACTCTGTGATGAAATTGAGACGGTCGTTAAATCGTATGAAACCAAATTCCATAACGAAAGGTATGTAAAGTGTGCACAATTAATGTATATATAGTTCAAACCAGTTGAAAGTATTTTTACCTCGTTTCTTTCCTCGACGCAGTTTGCTAACGACAGCGAAAAGTGCATTTGCAAAGCCGTACGAGAGCCCATTGAGCTGGTTTTCAATAATCACAACCGTTGTGGTTGTCGTTTGTTTAGCGCTAACAAAACATTATTTCACCTCAATATGTGTGCTGTGCATATTATTGGCAACCATCGTGCTGGACGTATACGAATGCTATTTGCGTCGCACCGAAATTTTTCGCAAAGTTCGACTGATTATAAATGAAGTGGAATTGGCGCAAAAACTATGCAAAGACTGGACACCCGAAAACTATCCCAACGTGTATTCGCCGATGTCGCCATGCGTCACACTTCAGTTATGCTATCGCGATGGAGGTGTTGTCAATCTACCGTGGGCATTGCTCGTTAAAAATGATGTCATTGTCATTAAATCAGGACAAACAGCGCCTGGCGATTGCAAAGAAATATCGGGCAAACGGAAATTCAAAACCGGCGAAACCTATGGATTGGCACAGGTAGAATGCGAATAGCATTGTTTGTATTCTGAGTTTTTTTTTTGAATTTTCGATCGGATTTCTAGCCTTTGGAAGCGCCAGTTCGACCGACGGTACGTTCACCGCTGCCCGATATGATATGCATTCTGGAGAGAACGCCATTTTTGGACAATCTGAGGAAAATTCTAGACAAATCACCAAAACGTCCGCCAACCATTTACAATGAACAACGTCATTTGGTATTATTCCGTTCAATCTGTAGCGAATCGATGTTGACTTTCACCTTTAAAACCCCAACAAAACTGTCTTCTTTTTTTAGCTAATCACGAAATACATTCAGCATTGGGGTGTTATTGCGTGTTTGCTAATGACATTATTATTTGCTGCTTTGCATTATAATGACAAATTATACGATGACCGTTTCGTTCAGCTGAAATGGATGAACTTGTTTATCGAATTGCCAGTGTGTGCTATTTTACCCGTCATCCCAATGATGTTTCCAGTCATGTGGATATCGATTAATTTGTGGGGCATTGCACGACTTGAAACGCATTTAGCACAACCACAATCCACTAGCAAGCTCGATCAACAAAGGTCATTTCAAGAAGACTTGGACACACCCACCTTAGAATTCGAAACAGCGAAACTTTCCTTCAAAGAAGTGCTATTCAATTGGTTGCGTTTATGGCGCGGTTACAGCATGCTACTCGGTCGTTCATCGAATGTGGTACAGGTGTTGGGTTCCGTGACGGCTCTTTGTTGTATTGATAAAAAAGGAATTTTATCATGGCCAAATCCTACGGCTGAGAAAGTACTGATTTTGCGAGATGCCGAAAATGATTACTCTTCCGAAGCAGAAAGTGAATCATCCTTTGATTCACATGAACGGTCCACCAAATCCGATAAAAATGACAGAGAAACAGCGATCTTTGAAACAAAGTCCAGCCAAAGCCGCACCAATAAACGAACAACTGAATCCAAAGCATCAGCAAGCAAAAGAGACAGTGGCCGAATTATCGATACGCATAAACATCCCGGCACCGTTGCCGAAGTACTTGATCTCACACACGATCAGTGCAGCCCATTTAGAATTGATTTTGACGATCACAGCTGGAAGAAACACATCGACTCATTGAAACCGTTGGGTAAGTGTTGCATTTGATTCAAAAAACACTTTAATCGCTGATATTTACTTACTCCAACTTTGTGGCTTCATCAACATCAGGCTTGGCCATTTTAGTGAATACTTGCTGTCAAAAGACACAGGAGCATTATTCCAAATTCTGTGCACATGTTACGGCCGTCGCTACCTTAGACAAAGATCTGGTGCCTGTTACCAATCGGTATGAAATTACTGAAACTCAATTCAATTGCTTTATGCATGGGTATGTTATGGACATACCAAGTTCTTGTGCTTAAAATATGTGTGTGTGGCTTTTTTTGAATCGATTTTTTTTTGCATAACTTAGAGTTTATCAAACCATTTAAGTTAAGGTTTGTGAGTGCATTTCATATGCCCAATTTTGCATAATTTGTCCGATTAATTCATTCGTTTTTGATTTGGAAAAGATGTATACATGTTTTTATCATTTCGAATTTGGATATTGTCTCTCGCTTTATTTTTATTTTACTTCATTTTCTGCTTTGAATTGTTTTCATCAATATTTTTTGCTGTTGTGTTCGTAATGTAGTTGTTTTAAATAGATATGTGAGCATTTAAACAATTCATACTGATTTCACGCAAAATGTTGATTAAAATGCTAATTTTCGAAGGAATTTATCAATTTCGTTACCCCAAAAAATGATTCAACAGACGATGCCTTTGCGAATTGGCCAAGCAAATTGGTTTCACGGATAAAGCAACGGACCTGTTCAACCTCGAGGGACAAATAGCAAGTTATATGCATTTGGTAAGTGCAAACGCAATTCATTTCAAGAAATTTTTTTTTTTTCTTCTTCAAAAAGTAGTCAAAAAGCAATTAAATGTCTTTAAATTCTTACAACAGCAACCGGAGGTGGTCAGAAGAGATATACGCTTTGCACGTCACCTTCGTATTGCGTCCAAAGTGAAAGTGCCATTTCCGCATTCTTTGTCTGTTGTAATTCGCGATATACAGAGTAATTCATTGCAAATGTTGACTCAAGGCACTGCAGACATCGTATTGGATTGCTGTGATGATTTCTGGGATGGTCAAGATTTGCGACCGCTCGGATCACAAGAGCGAAAACGTGCCCAGGATTTCTATCAACGGAATGCTTTGACTTCATATTGCACGGCTTTTGCGTATCGACCACTCAGACATGGCGTTGTTGGTGCATTAGGAGAAACTGCTTACATGGAACTACCGCCCGAATCTACGTACAAAACCAGTGCTCACCATTCTTGTGCTCTATCTCATGAGCGTGGCGGGATTTTCTGTACATTCGACGGTGCTCAAAGCAATTGTGAACCGACGGCAACTGAACTGAAGCATTCGATTAGCTCGGACTCTCTGCTTTTTTCGGAAAATAACAAAGAAGAAGACATCTGTGATGTTGATGGCTGTTTCGAAATGCAATGCCATCAAGTGTTCATCGGAATGGTGACCATGCAATATCAAGCTCAAACCGATATGGTTTCGTTGATTGAGCGTCTTGAACGAGCGTGTATTCGATTCGTGCACTTCAGCAAGGAAAATGAACTTCGATCAAGGGTCTTCTCGGAAAAGATGGGCTTAGAATCCGGATGGAATTGCCATATTTCGTTGCTCAGCGACGATCACAGCAACGCACCGTCACCACAAAGTCAGTCGCATATCTTTGATCCGGTCATTAGTTCAGCCATTTGTAACAACGAAATTATGGCTGATGAAGACGGAGTGGATTCAGAGATGAATAGACTACTGCCATTAACGTACGTTCGAAATTACAATTATCTTTTGCTGAGATTTAAATTGAATAAATTTTTCATTTCACAGTGGCTTGGAATCGAGCAAAAACTTGAGCTCATCAGCTCCAGGCGCAATCAGCGATGAAGTGCCACAGCAAAAACTATCAAATGTTAGTTTCAACAGTAGCTTCGATTCGGGAGCGAGCCGACCAAGGGTTTCCAAAGATTCAGCGATGGAAGATGAAAATTGTCGTTCACTCAGTGGGTTCAGCGACAGCACCGAACAAAGTGCTGCCATTAATTTTGATATGTCCAATCGGGTGAGTGGAATATTTGGATATTTTCTTGGCTATTGACAAAATGACGATTGTTGAAAATCATCGACTCATTTGTTGATTACAATCATTAATTCTCCTTCATTTGCAGGCAAAACTTCCTCGTGGCATAGAAAATATTCGTCCGCATTTAGAGAATGTCGACAATGTCCCGCTGCTCGTATCGTTGTTCACTGATTGTTCAGCAGAAGCAACGCGTGAAATGATCATGATAATGCAAAACTACGGCGAGATTGTGATTTGCGTTGGCAGCAGTGCAAGCTGTGCGAATGTCGATATATTTCTCCAGGCCGATTGCTCTATTGCCATTGAACCACTTTACCCTCAAGTGAGAATGATGTGAACCATTTGTTTTTATATTTGCCAAATAATGTCTCATTTATTGTGATCAGGTTTGCCAAAATATCCCTGCTTACACGGAGTCAAATATACTGAACAATCGCAAAACAGTGTCGGAAAATGATAAATCGAAAAAATGGTTTGAATATGAACCAATGCGCTTCCATTGCACCTCAACCATATCGCCGATTTACCTGAGCCGTCAATTGAACGCTATCCCCTGTTCCGTTGCAGTGTGTCGTGATGATTCATTTTCAATATTGGGCATGATTGAATTGTCACGGAGATTTACGAATGGTCTTTGGAATTGTATTCAGGTGAGAGAAAAGTCTTTGATTCAAAAATGAAACGCGTTTCCATCAATAATAAACAATCTTTTTGGCAGTTCTGGGTGTGTTGCGCCTGCATGCTGGCTCTCATCAATACGATTTGTGCTTGCTTAGCACTACCGCCCATCCTGACCCCTTTCACATTGGTGTACATAATGTGTGTCGTCGTGCCTCTGATATCAACTACATTGGTATACAATGAATACGATCCGGAAATTATGAATCGAGCAACAGGGAAAAAACACTCAAATTTCAATTCGAAAGTTATTGCATACGTAATTTGCTCGTACGGATTCAAGTTTATTCCGACAATTGTTATCATGGTGAGTGTCCTTATTTAAATTCGTTAAAGCCTTTATAAACTTTGTCGAGAATAATTCCATTGCAATTCTCACACATTACTTTCTTTCGACTATTAGGTTTTGGCATACTGTATGCTAATGTCACATCCAGCAGTTGAAGTACTTGATGTATTTGACATAGAGAAGGAGAATTTCTATAAAAATCTCGATACCTCAAGATGTTTTATATTTTATTCAATCATTTTACATTTTGGTATATGTTCTAAAACTGAGAGTTGTCAATTTTATTTCATATGCTAACGACTAATGTTGATGTTCATTTCCTTGACTTTGTAGTTATTATCTCAATGAGCTTTGTGCACCGAGACTATTCCATATGGACGAAAAATCCATTCACAAATCGTGCCTGGCTAGCTGTCTGTGTCACCATGTAAGTTTGGCCTCCAAATATCATCGAGGCCGTTGGTCTCGTTCTTCTTACTCAACGTTTTTGTTGGTCTTTTGTTTTCAGATTTATAGTTCAGACGATCATTTTTGCTCTCAATTTACTTTTAAACCGTAAAATTGTCGATCAACTGGAAAATGTGTGGCCGATAGTTTTGTTTCTAATTGGATCTCTAGTGATTGTTTTCGTAATCGTTGAATTTTGCAAGTGGCAAGAACTAAAGTAAGTAGGATGTTATTTTTCGATACGTTTTATGGGTATTTTGATTAGGAATACATTTATTTGATACTAATTTGAATATGTCGTTTGAAAAAAACAAAATTCCGATTTTTTTTTATTCAATTCTAGAGCAAATGGTCGCTATCAACGTCGTGCCCGACTGGACTTTGGCACGAAACTTGGCATGAACTCGCCATTCTAAAGCAAACCATCGAGTTTAATTCAATTCATGAATTCCCCAATTCAACACTACCTCTCGAATATTTTGACACTTCATATTGCCAACACCGGAAAATGTACTTGAAACAACAGTTATATACCACGTATATCAATGTTTTATTTCAATCAGCTTGTAAGAAGTGGGATCTTCCACCGAATCAATTGTTTTGGATTTCACTTAAAATTGATCTAGAACAAACTACTTAAGGCTCTTACAATCAATCAGTTGTTCGATCCATGCATTTGTACTATTTTTTATTGCTTTTGTTTTTCTGTTCATTCATTATTGTCATATTCTGAAAGCATTGACTTATTTCGTGCTGAAACCGTTTTATCTTTTATACTCAGTATAATAAACTGGTTTGCATTTGTCAATGAGATCATAATAAAATCTATACACTATATTTTTCGAACTAAGAAAATTGGTTTTTGAATAGAATGTCTTAAAATAGTAGCAACAGTTTTTTCGGTGTGTAAAATTGGGTTTGTTTACGATTCTCATCGATATACAGAAATCTATAACGAATCATACGTACGGAACGAGGTGTTTGTTTACCGGTCTACATACATACCTATATAACCGAAGTAATATTATTCCAGTGCTTAGCTCATATCGCACACACACTCATAATTTCCAATCGGAACTTTTTTGTCATGGAAGTATGCGCGATACATATCAATACATATGCAAAACAGTATACGGGATAGACACGAAACACATTCAATCAAAAACATTCTTCGTCCAATTCCAGCGTTGGAGTGAATGGGGCGAAACGATAAAAACGGTTGACGTTTCGACGATGGTTATAGACAACAACATGCGCATGTGTGTGTATGTTTTCCTTTTTCTTCTTTCTTTGTTGTTGTTGTTGTCGTCGTTGTCGTATGCGGATAGCGAAATTAAGAAATATTGCGAATGATATTCCACACTGTCTACGCCGTACATTACACTGCAGTGTTAATAAAATCAGCAATCTATAAACACGTACTTTTTTTTCGTTTGCATGCATTTCAATTAAAATTTCCATTGTTTCTGGTAAACATTGTGCGCTACTGTATACTGTTTGTATGTTATGTTTATTTCAAATCCTTTGGTAACATAAGAACCAACTATATTTGGAAGAGAAAAAAAAGCAACAACAACGAAACGTTTTGTTGAAAGTAAACAAAACAAAAACATTATTCAAGTGAAACATTTAACTAGAACAGCTGTTGATTCACATGAACAAAAAAAAACAATTCTTTGTTCGAAAATTCGCAGTTCAAGCCAAGAATATATATTTGCGTGCAATTTTTCCTTTCAACCGTTCTTGGTGCGTTTCTGTATCAAGTGTTGTCATAAAGTGAACACTTCGCAACAAGAAAATTGATTTTTGTCAGTCGACTTTTGGAAATCTGAGTTGGTAAAAAAGGAATAATAAAATCAGAGTAATGACAAGTAAAATTCGCCATCCGATTTTTTCCTTCGACATGGACATGGACGTGGATGAAACACCGAAAAAAATGAAAGCAGGTAAGATTATTGATCGATAAACTATAAGCTCAGCAGCTGTGAAAAGTATTGCGTTTTATATTATGACGACATGTTGCTCCCGATTGGCGTGAGATGTGGCCACACTGCGGACAATTTCAAGTGCGCCTTCGAAAATGCGCCTCTCTCATTTTTTTTTCTCATTCATAATAATAATACATGACGATAAAAATAGCATAGAACTTCTTTTCTGAGAACTAGTTATTTGTGCATCATTTCATACATTTTTCCGTCTGAAACGTATTAAAGTAATGAAAAAAAATGTAACAACTCTATTTCATCGGTATTACCTGCGATGACATCATCTCCTATAAATAGTAAAAACACGTCGATTTAAAGACGATCAAACTTCTATTGCTGTAATTAACATAAAACCAGAAAAACAATTCCAGCGACAACAATGTGCGAAGATGGCTTTTTAATTTGATTTCAGATAAAAAATGTGTTTGTACCGTCCCATAGACTATGTGTCATTTTGAATTTCCGTCAATCAACCGTGCAGATGATAAGCTAATACTTCCCTTATATTCTCCAATTTATTTTCGCTTTGTTCAACACTTTTGGTTGCTATGTGTGACTTCAGCCTTTTCCATAGATTCTCATAAACAGAAAGTGTTTGATAGTAGAAGTAAGCTTCTATATCCATATTATCATGAAATAGTGTCTAATTTCGATCAAACATATCGAGTCTGTATTGTTTCGTATCCCTTTTACTATTTTACTCTGCCACTACGGTTTCATGGAATCTGATTCTAATGTGATTATTACCAACTGAATAAGAAAAATGGATTCCATTTCATGGGACCACTCACTTCGTTCTTATTTACTTGCTTATTTGTTCAATTGCTGTTACAGTTGGCATATTGAATTTCACAAAATGATTATCCACTCAATGATGTGAATTATCTGTTTTTATTCGTTCAGTATTATGCGATTGCCTTAATTCATATGATTGAGCATGTAAAATGTGATGCAAACTTCAAACGAATCGGAGCCTCAAGTTATTTTGGCCAGACATTTTTGTTGCATTTCAATAGCTGTAAAAAGCTATTCTTACTTCGATAGAAATAGTTAGCAAGCGAATCAATAAGCACTAAATTTAGAACAATCGACAGCAATAACTAGGTTGGAAAGTAATAAATTGATTCGAAATGAAAGAAACATATTTGATCGGTATATCGCTCGTCACAAATGATTCGATGTGTCAAATATTCACTAATTTATTGCTTACGAGTGTGAATTAAGCGCTCCAAATGCGATACAAGCTATGAAGAATACATGGCAATTTGGTCAGGTCACCATTTTTGGCATCGTTTGAAAATAATTCATGCACACACATTCTGAGCGATTAAGCACGTGCACACAGGTATTTTATTGCTTGCATCAAGCAATTTACTACGGTATAATGTGTTTTGGTAAATGTTGCCAAGAAATTAAATATGCGACACATGAATTTATGTGGCTATGTTTAACGAACAAAATGCACGTCAGTGTCAAATGGAGATTGGTGACCATCAGGTTTAAATATGCAAAGCTATGCATTCCACGCGATGGTAGGTTATTTTCGGCTTTCCCAAGCGATAAAAAAAGCAATTATCAAGCATAATATTTATGGTTATTTGCAAAAGGTTTGCCTTCATTTCATTTTGCCTATGATTGATGGCACTTGTAATAAATTACGTCAATAGCCGGCTAACAATTCACACATTACCCAGTAACTTGATCAATAGACGCAAAATGAATCGAATCTCGTGTCTAAATGTACGGTTGAGATTTCAAACTGAATCTATTTCCAGTTATGAGAAAAAAAGTCAACGGAAACAACGATTTAGCTCTCGTTTCGCATATATATTTAGGTTTAGCACCAACACCAACGGACTTGAACGGTTTGAAATTGTAAACACAAAATTGCAAACACACGGAATTACATTGACACGAAACACGAATGAGACGCCATATGCGCTGCGTTGAAGTGGAAGCGAAGTGCTAATATGCCGGTATCCGAACCAAAAACCGTGTATACACGATCGTACAGTTGTTCATTCGGTTTTTCGTACGATTTTTTTTTCAAAGTATATTTCATCTGTCGCTGTGTGTGTGTGTGTGTGTGTGTGTGTGTGTGTATTTTTATCGATGTTCACCGACCAACCGCCCGAGAGAACAAAAGATATCCGAATACTACGTTCTTGCAGTTAGTTCGATATATTCAACAGATGAACGTGTACGTCAAAATCGTTGCAAATACGCAAAAAGATCATTTCAATTAATTAGATCACATTTGAACATTTGGAAGAAAGAAAGAAAAAACCATAAATTAAAGCAAAATTAGTGGTAAAAAGTGTGTTTTTCAATTCGATTTTCGATTGAATATTAAAGAAATTGTCATGAAACATTTCGTTTGGTGCCAAGAATTCAGTAATTCTCATTCTGTCAACGTCTCGTGACACAAAGAGTTATTGAAAACCAGAATGAAAGCAAATTAAAAAAAGAAATTAATCGATTCGAAAGAGTGTGGAGCAAATATCATTAGTTATATCGTTCATGACAACAGACGTGTTACGCATGAAATTGCGTGAAAAATGCTTCAATTTGATGTATCGATTACATTTGTGCAAATACAGTGCGACTATTTTCTCTTTTATTTTCATTTAGAGAGAAAGAGAGAGCTAAGCATTAGTTTGCAATGAAAATGTGTTTGATAATTATGATGAAAAGTTCTGCGGGTGTCGCCACCACAAGTGTACTTTCCAATGAAAAGTTTCCATGAAAATTAATCCATCTAGAATCGGACATTGTTTGTGAAATATGTGGAGTAGACACAAGGTCACTTTGTATTTTCTAGCTAGTGTAATGTACGCCATTTTAACCAGAACCATCTACAGTCACATTATAAGTTTTTTTTTACAGTTGGTTTTTTATTTTCTTTTTGCCTACAAACCAAAATATACACGCTAAAAATACTTGGCAACTTCTATTTTTCACATGCAAAAAGGCCAAAAGTTGTTCACTTCAGATGTGTGAGAGGTGTGCGTGTGTGTATTTTTAGCTCGTGCGTCCAAGAATAAACAACGGAAATTTTCTCAAAATTTTGTTTGTCATGCTTGTGTTTCTCTTGTGGCGCACCACAATGTCGCTTATATAGACGTCAAGTTGGCAGCGTACAATGTTTGTATGTGCAGTGGTTATTAACCTTTTTTTTCATGCATGATTGTGTACTCATGTCTCGACTCATGTTGGAGCAGCTGATCGGCACACTTCGTGTGTCGATTTTCATTCAGTTTGTTTGTTTTTACATTTTTGTCAAATGATTCTTGATAATGAAGACACTTTTCAGTCTGTTTGCATGAAGAAATGCAAGAAAAAAAATCTTTCGCCATTACGATAATTGATGTGCAAATATGTTACTTAGCACATTTGAATGACAAGCTTAATAAGCGGTCTAGTACAATTTGACTGAAATGTTGAAAATTCTAATTATATCCAAGCGTGAACAATCTTATTATCACGAACTCACTTGACTGAAGCGTCCGTTGCAAAGCAACACAATGTAACAATTCTAGCGCATCGCATTTCGCTTAGACTGAATTCTTAGCATCAAACGATTGTATTTATAAGCATCATACGTTCGTTTGTCAAATACAAATACGGTATTCTAACAATGTGGTTGTTTCCTTAGTAAACAGTGATTCATAGCAAAAAACTTTCGATAGAAATTTTGCAAACAAAAAAGTTCAGAATTTTTTCTGAGTATAAAAGATGAGTAGTCGCGGTGTGCTTGTGAGAAAAGATTCAGTAGATTCATTAAGCGATTTTCCGCTTGATGTCCCTTCACCGTCAACGCCACGGCCTCGAACACCAAAAAGTCCACATAGTAATCGTTTGGATTATTTTGACAAGAGTCATCGAGGTAATAATCACTACAAACTCAACATTGTTATTCAACAGAATTATTGTCATTATCATATTATTTGAACCAGTCTCGAAATAGTTTATATTCAACTTAATTAGAGATAAGCTCAACAAACACTCAACGCAACAATTCATTGTGGTTTTATTTTAAAGCGTTTTCAAACAACGACACCTAATTGAATTTAATTCGATAACATTTATTGGGCTGCCGGAGTAAAAAAAAAGCGATTTGTTATTTCTTATTTCTTGTTAAATAGACGTTCTGTGTACTGTAGTAAGTTAAACTAAAAAAAATAGAGGAAGCCGAGCACAAATCAAACCAATACGACTATCGCGACTATCATACAGTCGGCAGAGAATGTTGAATGAAGTGCCGACAAAAAGAAACACGAAATGAGACCAAACACACGTAGTAGACACACATTCACTCATACGCTCGTTGTTATTCATGAAATGGAATCGAACACTGGATCGCCGCATAACTTCTCCAAATGAAAACAAAAGTCCATTTCTATTCAAATTAGAGGTCAGTCCGTATTATCGCTGCAGATTTTAAATCAGTTTACTGTCGCCGTTTGTCACGATTAGTCGCTGTTTTTTTTTGGAACAGAAAAGAAAAGGAATACAATTGATCAAGGGAATAGTATCATTGTAGAAAAAGAACGAATTTTCCGCAAAAAAAAAACTATATTTCTTATAAAAAACTTACTTTTTTTCATGATAGTTAAGGTCGACGAATTTTAATCTTTGGTTAGGCTTTTCGGTTTCATATTTAGCTTACTTAATTTCAATTACGCGTAGTATTTTCCAATTCATAGTTTCGTTTTTTTTCAATTCAAATATCCGAAATTTCGGATGGAGAACATGATGAATTTTTACGGTATTCGAAGAGCAAAAAGTGAGGCTGAATTCCGTCGCGGTGAGAAAAAAGGTAAGCCACATTGTACAAACGCCAATAAAAGTGCAGACATGTGACGCAACTGGTGAGAGATTGAACGGCATCGATATTTGAATTTTGCTGATTTTCAATACAATTGAATAGTGAATATAAAATGGGAATTTGCTTCGGATTGAATGCGAAAATGTTCAAAATAGTCCGCATTTTATTTATAGAAACCAGCAGCGATAATGAAGCAAAGGAAGTAAAAGTAGCATTTCATCAAAATATGATTTGTTATCGCGTATTGCGACATTATTTGAAATTGTCTATCTGTATTTCTCCGGATGACAGTGTGTCGTGTGTATTGAGCTGTCTGTTTTGTGATTTAAATTCACAAGCAGATATACATTATATTCAAACTGAATGAGATTATTTCGATTTTTGAAATCAGTTGTTCGGATGCGATGAAGCTTCGACAGATTGCTTTTAAAAAAACATTGATAAATGAACTGGATTTGGTTGTCCTTCCTTTTACATATTAAATAAATATATATGATAACATTGGTTTTTGTTTTGTTTCGTTCATTTGTAAACAGGTAATGAGTCGCCTGGTGTATCGATAACGGGCCAAGAAATAGATGGCGATCCGTTACCAAATGAAATTTCGGCTCCATATGAGGTCCCACAATTTCCAATCGAACAAATTGAAAAGAAGCTGCAGATACAACGTCATTTGAACGTGAAGTGAGTGTAATCTCTTTTTACTATCAGCAAAACAGAAAATTGAGAATGAAATTGTTAAAGTGTGAAATGTGTTTGTGCACTGTGCACGCGTGGGTGTACAGGAGAGAGCGAGTTGAATCGATTGCACATGAGAAAGAAGAAAAAAAGTCGTTTGCAGGGGGATGAAGTGAAGGAATTAAACGGTGTATTTGTTGCTACCGCCCTGAACTGAAATGAATAAGGTTTCGCATCGATTCACACAGTGTTACTTTCTATGTTTGCCATCAGCCATATCGTCGATGTACTATCAACATTTTCATGATTATTTCTCTACATTTTGTGTTTGACTTTGTCTTCTACTTCATCATTCAGCCAGCGAGCCAGCCAGCCGTCATCATTACAATTTATGCTTCGTTCAGTTATTTATCGTTTATTAGTTGAAATTTAGCCATTCAATTGACATGTCGTGTGCAATGAGTGAGTGCTTTCATTCCTTCTCTTCAGTAGACATGTTGCTTCAGTAGTGGATTGACGTGAAAAAGAAGAAAACAAACACTCATTTCGGTTCTACAACTTTATTGTGCAGATATGATTTGCTAATTGAAATAAAAAAAAAAAACAAAAAAAAGAGGTTTCAATAAGGGGAAAAAAATCAGCCAATTTGTCATTATTAGTGAGTGAAAAGGGGTGGAAGCATGTTTGCAAATGACATCGATATCGATAAGTTTATTGTTCATCGTTTGCAAAATCTTGAACACTCACAGTTTTGTGGTATTCAACCACCGTTGCTGAGGTAATTTATGTTTTTTTGTTGTTGTTGAGTTTTTGAGCTACGGTGCCGTTGTAATTTATTTGGTGTGTTTGTGTGTACAAAAGGAGGTAATAAAATGAACGCAAAAGTACACACTGCTTGCGGAACACACCACAAAAACCACACAAATTTATGGATATGCAAATATATTCGTGTGTGTTGTCGGTCAAGGCTTTCTCGATGGCTTTAATTTGATTTAAATAAATTCGATGTATTGGTGTTAGAAAGCCCATTCTAACTACTTGCCATTCGAAGTACTTGCAATCAATTAGCGCTTAGTTTTCTTTTATGTTGAACAACGCGCCAATGTTTTTTGCATTTGAAAGTGGCCGCTCTACAACAAGTCAAATAATAAATAATAAATAATAATTAATGTCCAAAACCGAACGGGAATATTGATTGGTTTGTTGTGTGTATACACAACATACCTTTTGAGCTACGAATTCAATTAAGTCATTTATGATTCAGATAGTAAACTAGAAGACGCCATTCACAGAATGTTTATGCCCATTAAACACTGTTCGCTCCGTTTTTTTTCCTTCTTCTTTTTCTTCGTCGTGAGTATTTCTTCAAACGAATGGAAAAGAGTTTCGTAAACATTTCGTGTCAATTCCTTGAATTTCACAGTCATAAAAAAAGTTGTGTGTTGTCGTTGAATTCCGTGCAAAAGGCAGGTTCGAATGAAATGAATCGATTATGGAAAATATTTTGCGTGGGCTATATTTTTTTATGATATCATCGTTTACGTGACTTCTTGCAGAAAAAAAAAATTACGGTGTTTGTGTCAAGTTCACGAGGTGAAACTCCAAGCACAACAAGTCATTTTCCTCGTTGTTTTTCACTTTCTTCGTACGGATTTCTTTTTCTTCCCTTTTTTTACAAACACACATACATACCGATTAAATGGCTGCGCAAATAACATTAGTAAAACTTTAACCCTTGCTGAGTGAATGAGCAAACAGTAATCGAAATGCACAGGAACACAACCACCCTACCTGCTGAGGAAAATTATGTGTTCTTCATACGTCTATTGAACTCACTCTCTCGTCAATGCTTGGTTGTTGTTTTTTCTTACTTCCTTCGGAATGCTACGTAAACAATGAGTTCATTTCATGGAGAACGCAACATCTTCGACTCGTTTTCATGCGATATTGCTTTGAACCACGATACCCACCAAAGAGCAATGATGTATTTCTTTTTGTTGGCTCTCTATCTTCCACTCTCTTGTCAATAAAAATGTGTATGCTGTACGCTGTACACGCAATTATTTAGAGCCATGCAACAAAACGAATTGTCGCAATAGAAAATTAATTTCTCACATTAAACAAGTGGCGTTGGTTGTGGTTCCATGGCTATTTGTTGCGCATTCAGCCAATGTACGGAGAATGCAACGGACTCGAGTTTGAAAATGCTCAGATCGTTCAGTTGCGGTGCACACATCAAGCCAAATGGATACGGAATTCATTTTTCGCAAACAAAAATTAAATCGATCAAATGCATTTGAGTTCGGTGGCGACAATTTTTCTTTATATTCTTTGCATTCTATTCGAAATAATCGAATTTTTATTCGACCGTTTGAAATGTTTTGTATATTGAAATTCTTTTTTTCCATCATTTCAGAGCATTGGAAGATAGGCAATCAACGCTAGCAGTGGGAGATACAGCTCACACTAGCGATGACATCCAATTGGATGAACATGAATTTGTGCCACATTTTCAGCGTGTGTCAATATCCGGTGAAGATACGAGCGGTGTTCCGTTGGAGGATTTGGAGCATGCATCTAGTTTGTTAATTCAAGCGCTCGAAATTCGCGAGCGTTACATGAGTCTATCGATGCAATCGTTTCCACAGACCACGGAACGTTTTCTACGAACATTTCACAATAAAACCATGTCCGACATTGTGGAGTACGAGGACAAACGAACAACAGCTGGTAAGTTATTGGGAAAATTTCGTAAAACTTTTTTTTCAATAGCACACATTCCGATTTCAATAGATCCAAGTAGAATTTAGCGTAGAAATGTATCCAGAAGAAATACATAAAATCGTTTTTGATTCGATTTTTCGTTTTGATCCCTTCATCAACTTTTTTTATTCATATAATTTAATTTTGTATTTTTTTATTTCGACGCAAAAGATCGTAGAAAAACTCTTCAGAAAACGAAAGGTAATTCGTTTCATGGGTTGCGAATGATTTTTATGTGTCTTTTTGATATCAAAAGTAATTTTTGTTGACTTTGGTTGATGTTTGACCACGTCGATTTCGGGTTTTGTCAAAAAGCGGAATTAACCCGAAGACCTTTGTATTTTAAAAAGAATAGTGGCGTCAAGTGAAAACATACAAACTCTCATATTGCGAGATAAGGTTGTTCTTATCAACTAAAAACAAATTTATGTCGATTTGTATTGTGTTTCATTGTAAAACTTTTTTTAATTTAGCATGATACACTTCAATAGCGTAGATAACAAAGTAAACCAACTTAAATCGATAATCCATTTGACATTTGTTTCTAAATGCTTATGATTTTATTTCGCAGATCATTCAGTTCATGCACCATCAAACACAAATGATCCGTGGTCTGTTGATTTTCCGGAGAGTCCTGGATATCACATCAAGGCCGAAGGCGGTGTTTTCAATTTGTTCCGAGACGCTGAACATAAAGATAAAGTCAACTATCAGTATCTTAAGTTGGAGGATTTCGTGCAAGACATGAACACCATTTGCGCTATGATGGCCGATGGACCACTGTAAGTGATCTGACAAGTTCAAAGCTATTTGAAAGAAGAAAATGAAACAAAAAATTCCAATGAATTTTCATTTATTATCGAAAAATTCCATCGAATCTTTCAGGAAATCATTCTGCTATCGCCGTTTGAGTTATCTGAACTCGAAATTTCAACTGCACGTACTATTGAACGAGCTCAGAGAATTGGCCTCTCAAAAAGCTGTACCACACAGGGATTTTTATAATATACGGTGAGTGATTCAGAACGGATTTCAATAAACAAAACACTTAAACACAAGAAAATGTATTTATACCATTTTTATTACCCTGTTTGTCATATTACAGCAAAGTCGATACGCATATTCACGCTGCTTCCTGTATGAACCAGAAACATTTGCTACGCTTTATTAAGAAAACGCTTAAAAATAATGCCGATGAAGTAGTGACTGTGACCAAGGGTGAGTATTCCATTCCACTGAATCAATCAATTGAATGAAAAAGCCCATTGAAACATTCTATTTGGAAAAATTCTTTTCATTTATAGGAAAGGCAATGACATTATCTGATGTCTTTCAATCGATGAATTTAACCACATATGATCTAACTGTTGATATGCTTGATGTGCATGCGGTAAGACTTTAAGGCCTATCTCTCTCTCTTTTCTCTTTCTTGTCACATGAATTCAAACATAAAATTTGTTCTGTTCTAGGACCGAAATACTTTCCATCGTTTCGACAAGTTCAATGCCAAATATAATCCGATTGGAGAGTCGAGATTGCGTGAGGTGTTCCTGAAGACGGACAATTATCTCAATGGCAAATACTTTGCACAAATCATTAAGGTAAATTGAGGAATTCTCGTTCATAAGCAAAAGTAAGTAAAATATTGAATTTCATCTTGACTTTAGGAAGTGGCAGCTGATTTCGAAGAATCCAAGTATCAAAATGCTGAGCTTCGTCTATCAATTTATGGCAAATCACGTGAAGAATGGCCTAAGCTAGCTAAGTGGGCCATTGACGGGAATGTTTATTCGGATAATATTCGTTGGCTTATTCAAATTCCACGTTTATAGTAAGAACACTCGATTCTAATCAAAAGTCTGTTATCTATTGTAATTCTGATGATTTTATGTTTCCTTCACTTTTACAGTGATATCTTCAAAACAAACCACATTGTGACATCGTTTCAAGAAATTTTGGACAATATCTTCTTACCATTATTCGAAGCAACTAATGAACCGGAGAAGCATCCAGACCTCCATCGTTTCTTGCAATATGTCATTGGTTTCGATAGTGTTGACGACGAATCAAAACCCGAAAATCCTTTGTTTGACCGTGATGTCTCGGCACCAGAAGAATGGACCGACGAAGATAATCCACCCTACGCCTACTATATTTACTATATGTACGCGAATATGACGGTGTTAAATCAATTCAGAAAGTATGTACTATTTCGAATCTATTTATGGTTACCAGTAAGGAGATAACAGTATACACTGTATACTCTAAATTCGCCTTCGGACGTAAAAAATTTCATCCCCAACACTTTCGATGCATTTTTCTCCCCTTAAAACTCAAATGGGCAAATAGGTTATATCCCACGAAAGTTGCGCCTGGTCCCATAGATTTCATTGGCACATAGTGTTGGCCTCCCATGTTGACCCAGTTTGAAAGGCAGGTGTCAAAAATTGAAAAAAGTCTAAAAACCACCCCGAAGTAGGTAAGTCTCACTCTTCAACCCCGAATCAATTGCATTTTTGGATTCCTCGTCGAAAATTAGCTATACCTCCCGAACATCAGTTTTTGATAAAACCTCTCACTTTGGCCTAAATCATCTCTGAATGTGCAGTAGGAAAAATTGATATTTTTCTATACATTTATAAGGATTTTTTGCGTTTTTTCTGTTTTTCTCCCATAACTTGTACCCCATATGCGGTGGAGCAGAATTTTGTCCGAAAAAGTTTTAGATCTCACTGAAACCTACCATTTTGCCGCAGACAGTCATCACTTATCTCTTATCAGTAAGGACATAATGGCCTTGATAGCTTTTATCAATTATAACTGTTATCTCCTTACTGATAGGAGATAAGAGATGACTGTTTGCGGCAAAATTGTAAGTTTCAGCAAGATCTAAAACTTTGCCGAACAAAGTTCTGCTCCATCGCATATGGGGTACGAGTTATGGGAGAAAAACCGGAAAAACCCAAAAAAAATCCGTATAATATAAAATGTATAGAAAAATATCAATTTTTCCCACTGCACATTCAGAGATGATTTGAGCCACAGTGAGGGGTTTTATCAAAAACTAATGTTCTTTTATCAAAACCTAAGGGAGGTATAGATAATTTTCGACGAGGAATCTAAAAATGCAATTGATTTGGGGTTGAGGAGTGAGGTTTACCTACTTTGGGGTGGTTTTTGTACTTTTTTCACTTTTTGACCTCTGCCCTTCAAACTAGGTCAACATGGGAGGCCAACACTATGTGCCAATTAAATCTATGGGACCAGGCGCAACTTTCGTGGGATATAACCTATTTGCCCATTTGAGTTTCGAGGGGAAAAAAATGCATCGAAAGTGTTGGGGATGAAATTTTTAACATTCGAATTTAATAATAATAATAATTCCATTAATTTGGAGTATTCAGTGTATACTGTTACCTGTTATCTCCTTACTGTTGGTTAGGTATAACAGACTACTGTGCAGGTGAAGAAAACTCGCGTGTTTGTTGTGCCAAACGAAATTCTGACAGTTTCAGAATGATTTGAATAATGAACGCAATTAATTTGATTTTTTCCATTTTACAGGGAGCGTGGTATGAATACATTCGTTTTGCGGCCTCATTGCGGGTTTGTATTTATTGAAAAGACGCTTCATTTATCTTTTGATGTAACTCTTCCTTTGAAGAACTTTTTTTGTCATAGAAAATTTGATAGTCCTGTTTGCCTTCTACGATCGAATCAAAATATGATATTTTATTTAATCCCCGTAGGGAAGCCGGTCCAGTTCAGCATTTGGTATGTGGATTTTTGATGTCAGAGAACATTTCGCACGGTTTATTGTTGCGCAAAGTGCCTGTGCTGCAATATCTGTACTATTTGGCCCAAATTGGTATCGCAATGTCACCGCTATCCAATAATTCGCTGTTCTTGAACTATCATCGCAATCCTTTACCGGAGTATTTGGCTCGTGGTCTCATCATATCACTCAGTACTGATGATCCACTGCAGTTCCATTTCACAAAAGTAAGAATAATAACAAAATGAAACGAACCACCAATTTTCAATTAAAAAAGTCTCGTGTATTGCTGTCAAATTCGATTTATCTTCACCACGGCTAATCTCCATTTGATTTTTAATCATTTTAGGAACCGTTGATGGAAGAATACAGTATTGCGGCACAGGTTTGGAAACTTAGCTCATGCGACATGTCTGAACTAGCTAGGAACAGTGTTTTGATGAGTGGCTTCTCACATAAGGTTTGTATTTCGATTTTTTAAAATCTGACAAAATTTCGAATGAATTGATATTGCAATTGGGTGATTCACTTATGAATAGTCAGAACTTTTGTCAAATGAATACCGCACAATCGTAATCAAAATTCAAAACTATTGATATATTCATTGAAATAAAACTGAATCGCAATTTCCAGGTGAAACATCATTGGCTTGGTCCTAATTACACTCGAGAAGGTGTTGCTGGCAACGATATCACACGCACCAACGTAAGTATTCCATTGACAGCACTAAGCCTATTATCGTGTCATTATCATGATTTATATCCCACACTTTATCTATTTTTAGGTGCCTGATATTCGCGTTAGTTATCGCTACGAGACACTCATCGATGAGCTGACAAATATATTCAGCAAATATCTCATCAAATGAAAAAAATGTTACAAACGAGTGCGCCCAAATGCAGGAAACTATAATTTGTTCTAAAATCAAATCTCAGAATTGTTTAATGTATTTTAATTTATAACGAAACGAATAAATATATATATTCGTAATAATTATGCTTCTTTTCTTTATTCGGCTAAAAAATAAAATTAAATATACATTGTTTGGACATCACACGAAAAAAATGGATTTTCCTTTTGTCTTGCAGTAAACACATAATCTGTTTTGACGAGAAATTTGAATGATGAACAAACACAATTATGATGTAACATTGGCAGATGCTGATGCAGTGACCGTTGATGGTGCTGTATGGAAAAATTTCAACATGAACCCAGCAGCCAGAAGGAAATGAACAATCAAAATGCCACTGATTAGGAAAACGGATTTGCTTGAATTTTGTAATGCTGGACTTAAAATGATGATGAGCACGGTTCCAGTTGACAATGCCGCACCAAACACAAGTATCCACTGTAGAAGTGAGATTTGAATAAGCCACAGAACTGACACAGGAATGTAAATACCAAGCGAATAGCCATATATGCATATTAAAGACAAGAAACTGGGTGTGTAAATGCCATTCTGAAAGTGAGAATGAAATTTATGGTAAAAATTGAGGTTAGAAAAAATGGAAATAATCAATCTTTTGAGATGTACAATATGTGAGTTTTCGTATCATGTTTTACCTCTTCTGAAATTAAATCCGAGTCAACTGGTCTCACGGTGAATTTAAATGCAGCCCACAATGCGAATGGAATCAGTATAACGTAAACAATAATGGTCGTTGCTGCAATCGACACCAAATGGAAATTATATACCCAATGGTAATTCGTGTTTGCCTGTTGCAAATAGCTTGCAATGTTGCCGCTGATGGCGATGGAAAAAACCTGCAATCGAAATAAACATGAAATGTCGATTCTCTTTGAAGTATAAGAAATATGGACAAAAAAGCAGTAAAACGAAGTTATTCAAGTAAAACCCTAGCCTTCTAGTGCCCTCACCAAAGTTACGAAAATCCAAAATGGGCCATATAAATCTGGATTCGATCCGATATCCTGTTTCATATAATTAACCGGAGCACGTCTTGGAATTATCGCCGACATAATCCGTTCATAAACAATTGCTGCATCGACATCGAAGAACTTTTGATAGAATTCAATGCTGAATATCGAGTGATTGGTTCGTGGGTTTTCATTGATGTCATCTAAATGCCAAGTTGAAATGTTGAGTAAAAGAGAAATGAAATGAAAATTATGCTTCATCACACTTACCAGCCGGAGCAGCACGTTGGCGCTCATCATTCTGTAGAACATTCACACTGGCACTCATTGAGTTGATAAGGTCTTGTAGTGGGTCACTGGTTGTCGACTGGTTTACTGTCGTTGTGGCATTCTGATACGGTGACCGCATTCGATTCGGTGAATTGATGTTGATCTCAGGTATTCCACCTTGTGACTGTGACTCATGAACGGGTGAATACTCTTTAAACGATAATAAATCGTCGGTGTTCATTTTTATCGCCTTATTCAAACAATTACCAGAGAAAAATTACACGTCTTCGTTCCCGTTTTACTTTTGTTATGTTCGATAATAATCTATTTCTTGACGTTTTGCTGCTGTCAAAATGCATGTCATTCTCAATGCTCACACATCTGTGGTGCCATCTATCAGCTCAAAGCTTAACGACTCACGCAAATACCACTCACTTGTTGGGTGAACTTTTGAATTATTTCACTCATCGGCTTATTGTATCACACTGTGGGAATTTCTTATGCGGTGCAAATGTATAATGGTTTTATTTTTATATCAACATCCGATTACGTGACACAAACAACCATTGGGAAGGCAGTTAAAGGAGCCACTTTATTTATTGACTGCACAACAACATCCATAAAAAATGCAATTTGTTTGTAGCGAAAGAGGCGGTTTGCAATTTATATTTGTAGTATTTAACGTCTGGGAATGCTATGGGAAATAAAGAAGATTAAAACTAAACAATACTGAAAAATAGATTTTTTTCTTTCGCACGCGAATAAATTTTCATTTCTAGCCGTTTCCCTTTGCAATACTATCAATTTCCCATCGAATAGGGAACACAGTTTCTCTGCTTCGTATACTTGCGATGCTGTGAAATGATGTAAATTTCCCAATTGAATGTGGAATTTGTTGGGCAGCTTAAATGAGCTGACATTCACACACAAATATGGATCGAACGAGCCCGAATTTTGTACGAGCAAAATTATAAAAGCTTCAGTGAAATTTATACGTCGCGCGGAAAAGTTCTGCAATAACGAAAGAGAGAGAGAGAGAGAGAGAGAGAGAGAGAGAGAGTCTTGTTCTTGGTGCATTTGTTCGTAATTCACCAGCTGCACACAATCATAAAATAAACTAAAAGTGTAACGTCGTTGCCATGTACTTGCGGTGGATTTTCAAATCGATGTGAATGTGTACTGGCATCGATGGAAAGAAATGGCAAGAAGCAAGCGAATATAAAAATTTATAAGCATGCAATGCATGGCAAAACAACAAACGATGTTTGCACAATGAGTGCACTTTCCGTTGCGATCGGTTTAGCGCCAATGCATTTCGCTCAGGACAAACGAAGCGAGAGCGAGTGCAAGAAAAAGAAAGATGACATCGAAAGCGATTTATTTCAATTTATGGCGATAATAAGATTTTGTTGAAATAATTTGCTGGTTTTTCCATCGATACACTAAGAATGAAAATGGCGGTCCAACGCACACATTGAACGTACTCGGGCTAGCATGCCTTGGTTTCGAGAAAAATGAAAGGATTAACATAAAATATCGTGACCGAAAGTCACACTGAAAAACAATTTACGTTGCCATTTGTATCACATTAGCAAATTTATTGATTTCATGTGGGATTTATTGCCAATGCAAACATGCGATTTGTATCCCTTATTTCAATTGTAAATCAAAATGAGATTAGGCGTTGCGAAAAAAGCGGACGTTTGTTTTTCTTTCATTCTTGGAACGAGACCCAAAGTAAATTATTAGAAAAAAAACCATTTTTTCCCTTTTATTTCAGCATTAGCTTTAGATTCATGATACACGTTTCATTTAAATCTGTTCTTCTGATTTGTTACCTCTGTTTTGCTTCTAAATCGTTTGCCGTGCCGTAAAATGGTGCGTTTTATATTTCCATTTCGAAAACCACAAACCGAATGGATTTTATTACATCAATTTAAATTAGATTGAATGTTGATCGTTGTGAAAAGCGACGGCAATTCTTTACGTCTAAAGACTTTGAAGCCGGTGTAAACTTGAACTTTGAAAGAGATTTTGATGCCAATTCAATTGGGATTATCCTATAAACATCCATTTTTTTCTCATGGTCGGTGCATTGCTTTCGAAAGCTGCTACAAATCGAAGCAATGTGACATCAAAACTAATTGAGAAAAAAAACGACCGCATTAATTAAATATTTGCCTGGCAGTTGAGGTGTACAGACACACAAAGTTGTGGTTACACTTAAATTCCAACATAGAAGTCTTGACATTCAATTTTCTTAATGTGTGACTCGATTTTATGCACTTGCCATACACGTATGTGGACAGAATGTGAAATACTGGTGTTGACTCTTTGTACGGCATTTGTATGGCTTTCGTCTCTCTAGCCAAAAGTTTTTCTTTCTTCTTCTTCTTCTATTTCTCCATTCAAAACACATTAAAAAGTGGTTTGTGTGTGTGTGTGTGTGTGTCGAACCGACTTTTCAATGTAATAAAAGAGAAAGCAACAAAATGAAATGCTAAAAACTTTTGCTGAACATGACTTATATTGAATCCGTAAAAGAGACCTGACTGAGAACCATTGTGTAACGACTGAGGAATATATATGTGAAGTATTTATTGGTTGGTGTTAAATCACCGAAATCAAATATGAATGAACGAGTCAGGCTGGTTCGTGTGGTGTATTTGTGTGCTTGGTTCTTAGCGATTCAAAGCAAAGTGACAAACAGACAACGACATACATATATATATAAAACTTGCAAATGTACTGTAGCTGCTGTGCATTTGAAACATAGTTTTACACAAAGTGGCAGATCTTATTATGTGGAAAATTTGTATAAAAGGCGATGATATCCAATAGAGTCGACACAGTCTTTAACGAACGCTTACCAACAATACAAATATCGTCAACAACAGCAACAGCAAAATCACAAGACAAATCATAATAAGTCTGTGTGCTGTTTACAATCCGCATCGACCGTTCTCGTCTCTCTAAATCCGAATAATCACGGAACTTTGTGTGCCAAAGGAAACTCTTTCCGTCTGCTTCGTCGCACAATCTCAATAACATAATAACAGAATCATAAAACAGCAATAGGCATTCTTCAAGTTGTGTGTGAGTGTGCAACGGCATCCGTTTGGCAAAATATGGATAAATGGAAGGGAAAGGTGGCTCTTGTAACCGGAGCAAGTGTGGGAATCGGCGCAAATATCACAAAAGCTTTAGCCAATTCGGGCATTACAGTCATTGGATTAGGCAGGCGTGTTGATGCAATTCAAGTACGACATTTCCTTCCTTATCTCGATGGCCATTATTAATTTTGAATACACTCACATTTATTTGCATTTACTAGGATTTAGCCAATCAAATTCAAGCGGAGAATTCGTGTGGGAAAATCATCCCGAAAAAGTGTGATGTTACGAACGAAGCGGAAGTATTGTCGGTTTTCAATTGGGTCAAAGAGAAATTCGGCCATTTGGATATATTCGTTAATAATGCTGGTGTTATTAAATCTGACATGCTATTAGGTACTGCTATCGCCATCATTATGTACAACCAATTAAATTGGCTCATTTTCTTTTGTTTTGTCACTTTCAGAGGGTAAAACTGAAGATTTTAAGAATATCTTCGATGTGAATGTCATTTCGGCTTGCGTATGCATTCGCGAAGCTGTAAAATTAATCAAAGCCAATGGCAGTTTCGGACACGTCATCGTTATTAATAGGTAAGCCGTGTCATTCAACCGAATTCGAACAAAAGTGGCATTAACAACGAATTTCCATTCAACAATCACTTCCATTCTCAATACATCCCAGTACAGCGAAAATGGTTGTTTACGTCAAATTAAGTCATAATAATTTTTGGCTCGTTATCATTATTTGTTTGACAAACATCTCAATGTTTTACATTGCGTAATTCCATTGAATGTTCGTGTAATCCGATTATCGATCAAGTCTTTATGTCATCGTCGCATAGAAAAAAAAAGCTCAACATTCATTTTACCAATACAAAACCAAATGCTATTCCGTTCTGCTTTCGAATTTATTCCATCCACTTTAGCTGATGATTTGACTGCCCCCGATTGTTCGACACGGTTGTTTGTGTCACAAAGGAACTTATGATAAAAAAAAGTGTCATGAAAGCTCATTATAGGAGTTGACGTTTTTGTTTTTGCTATCTATTTTTGCATCAGATCGATAAACAAGTTTTTGTTTTAGAGCCATTTAGCCTGTTCTTTTTTCCACTTGAACATTCAATTCATGACATATTGATGGGGGGGTTATGTAAAGGTTTTCTGTCATTTATTTTATTGAACTTTTTTACAACATTTTTGCCATCTATTTATCATTTTACAACCCATTGCTGTTGTAAAACGAAAAATATGACGTACATTTTTTTTATTCCTTAAATTCTATTCGAAAAACCACAAAAAAATACCATTCATCTGCACCAGACTTTGAATATATTACATTCGATCGAATGACAAATCATACGACAAATGCTCACAGCATGACAATGAAATATCTGTAAAAACTATTATTCGACTGATCAAACACATCCAAAACGATTTTTTTTCAATAAATTGAACAATCATTTTTCATTTTTCGTTGTCAGTATTTTGGGACATCGCATACCTGATTTACCTATTCCATTGTTCAACGTGTACCCGGCATCCAAATTCGCATTGACAGCAATAACGCAAACTATCCGACAGGAGTTAGCATTTCATCAGGCCAATATTAAGTTAACGGTATGTTTTTGTCTTCTGGGGGAAATTACTTCAATTCCATGACATATTGACCGTAGTGAGAAAAAAAACGACATTTTGAGTCGGCGAAAATATCACAAAAGCTCTAGCTAATTCTATAATTCAATTTAGCTCTCTAATTGTTCTAAATCTATTCTGAAAATATTGATGATTGCAATTGAGGAAAAAAATGTGCTAAAACCAAAAGGTTGTTTGACAAATACCACCACTCAATCATTTAAAGTCAAATTGCAGTAAATTGAAATATTTTCAATCATGCAGTAAAAAGTCCTTCTTCTTATTCATTTAACGTATTATTCGACTATCAATAAATGTATTAGAGTAAACGGATATTCATCATTTAATACAAAAGGTCAAAATCTTTTATTTTAATAGAATGGAATTTATTCTTTTTGCATTTCTATCTAGTCGGTGAGTCCAGGCATGGTGAACACTGAGTTTTTAACGGCATATAATTCATCATTTTATGCGGGTCTTCCACAGCTTAAAACCGATGATGTAACAGCTGCAGTCTTATATGCGCTCAGCACGTCGGAACAAACACAGGTTCGAAAATACCATAATATGAAATATAATTCGCTTAACGAATGAACCATTTAAATGGCTTCGGAGAGAACGTCAAAGTTTTCTAATTGATATTTATGATTTCACCTCTTTTCGTAATCTTTTACAATTTCACCTTCTTTACTAGTTCAAAAACATTTCCCCATAGAAATTTAAATTGTTTCGTTTAGCTTATGCGACAAAAGAATAAAAGCTTTAGAAAGTATATTTGTTCAAAATACAATTCAGTACTTTGCCAAATCTGATTTTCTTTCTCTTCCATTTCATTGCAGGTTGAGGAAATCATTCTACAGGCGATACCAGAGTACTGTTAACTTGACATTTTCCAACCGGAAGTCAAGAGCATTGAACACATGCTCTTTTTTATTGGCCGTTAAAAGCAAAGATTCGATAAATATTTTTCTTCAATTGAAAGCGAAATAAAACCAATACGAATATCTGGAAATCCGTTTGGAAAGCTTTAAATAAAGAGAAACCATGTGAAAGCATTTTATTGATGTTCGAGCGGATGTGACAAAAGCACCGCTAATAGTTTTTCTTTTCTCAACTTCAATGCAAACAGGTTGCAGTCGATAGACTTAGTTCGTTGTCATATATATTTATTGAAGTTTCTTGGAATTTAAATGGTTGAAGCACATTTCAGCATTCTTTTCCCACAAAACGGAGGAGTTCTTGATGAAGCTTCACATCCGGCTCATTCAACGAGTTGCACAATGGACATGTGTGTTTTGTGCTCGGTTTCGTAAAATATAATTTCTTAGTTTAACAAATTCAATGTACAGCGTGCTATGGCATTATCATGATGGCAACTTCGAGACAAATTGACCAATACTGTAAATGCTCATTGAAAAATGCATGAAAGTTTCGCCACTTTGGTTGCTCTTCGATGTAAGCTACTCAAAATATAGGGCTTCTAAACGGCAACTCTTGTAAGTCGACTAATGACCGAATGTAGAATTCCCCAACATTCATCCGAAGTTATTTGATTTTGACAAAGTTTCTAAAAGCATTAAGGATGTGGTAAGAAAATGGTGATGAACTTAAGCCAAAAGCTGCACTTAACGGATTTATTAACAGGGGAATTTCTCATTCACTCAATGCTTTAGTACAACAGCCTTATGAATAAGATAAATGCTTTTAACAAAATAATACCAGAGTTCAAGCCATGATAACGGGTCGTGAGTAAGATCACATCAAAAGACAGTTCTGTGCACATATTCTCACGAAAACACCCTGTACATGGGATTTCTAAAGCAACATGAATCGAAACCAATAAATTTAAAAAAAGTATTTTTAACTCGGAATTCAATGGAAAATGCCTTTTCGATATAGTTAATTTCCAAGGTGAAAATGAATAAAAAAACACGTCGACAAATCACAGTAGAAGCTGTATCAAATGAAAATTTCCAAATGTAGTGGAATTATTAAAGAAAGCGATACCTTCTCGCACGACACACATCCACAATTCGGAAGCAATAATCAGAGAGTATGAAAAATGCAAAACGGAAAGGCGAATGAATTTCAATGCAGCAACATTATATGCAGCGAATCCGAATGACGCATATTGTGTGCATCCGATTGAGTCAACGATAAGGGAAAACATTGAAATGGAGTAAGAAAATCAAGAAAAATCAATATTTGTGCTTCGGTTCCTGGAAGTAAGCTGAAGTGCTGCTCCATTTTCGATTGATACGTTTTTTTTCAATCACATACATAAAATAGAAGAAAAGAAAATCCACATGAAACATTTTTTCCCATTTTGTAAAATCAATTCGATTTAACGAGTGAGCAAATAAACTATTTTGTACAGCCGTTCTGTTTCTTTAGTGGAGAAAAATTGATTTTGTGTCTGAGGAAAAGAAATAAAATGCATGCGAAAACACTGTTTTCACACAGTGACATGTGCGTGCCAGATTGAATTTTATAAATACTGCCAGTCATTGTTGCAACATTTCATGGAATGCATTCGGGGAAAACACCTACAATATGCATCATTGCGAAGATTTGGCGGCGAGAGGAAGAGGGAGAAAACAAAAGTTGAAAGGGAGAAAGAATATGAGAAAAAAAGAGATGGAGACAGGCACATTTATTTTGCGATATGTATACAGCAAACCATTTTTTTTTCTTAGGGTGACTCCATTTCTCTCATTCATATTTATAGTGATAAATTCACATTTTCCCCCTCTATGGATTGGATCATTGTTTGTGGTTTTGAACTCAACGTGTATAAAAATCACATAGTACTGCGGCATTATCTTCTGCGTTATAAATTCAGGTAGGCAGGTAGTAAATCATGATGCCACGAATTTATTTACGAGTAAAATTGTAGTAAAGTGCGCAATATTACATTACCAAAAAAATTCTTAGATCCGTTTAATTATTTGTACCATACATTGTAATATTCGGTGAGTGCCACTAAAAAAATATCCACACTCATCTAGTGCGTGAGACGCATGGTCACTCATTTGGTGAGTGAAACGCATGCGGATGAGATGAAGCAAAGCGAAAGAGAAGCGCGAAACTAGAACATAGTGTCAATGGGTACTACGTGTTTGTGTCCGTATTCAAACAACGGAGTGACGAAATGTATGCGCGCTATATGGTTCGTTCGTATGGAGTTGCCCGCTTCGCTTTCGCTTTGCTTCATCCCATCCGCGTGCGTCTCACGCACTAGATGAGTATGGATATTTTTTTAGTGGCACTCACCGAATATCAGGGTTTGATTTTTCCCATCCGCTCGATAGAGCCTCCATCGATTGAATCGAAAGAGTTTTTCAAAAGAGACTCTTTCAAAAGAATCTTTGCAACAATTTTCAATATTCTGCTACAAATTACGGCTGTAAACTATATTCAAATGATTGGTTTTGATTTATATTTTAATACTATTAAGAAAAAAACTAAAAAAATTGATTTGTTTTAAAATCTATTAAAATAATTGATTTCGTCTGATCCATATTTTGACAATCGTCGTACAATGATTTGTGACATTTCACCATACACTGCAACTTCATGCCATACTTGACATTTATACGATAGTCAAAATGATCGTTTTAATGAAATCAATAATTTCAATAAAATTTAATACAAATCAATTTTTTTAGATTTTTTTCTTCATAGTATTAAAATATAAATCAAAACCAATCATTTGAATATAGTTAACAGCCGTAATTTGTAGCAGAATATTGAAAATTTTCGCAAAGATTCTTTTGAAAGAGTCTCTTTTGAAAAACTCTTTTGATTCAATCTATGGAGGCTCTATCGAGCGGATGGGAAAATTTAAACCTTGCCGAATATTACAATGTATGATTTGTACACTTATTTAACCCTTTGATGCACAATTTTTTGTTTTTGAATCATTTTGATATATGTTTTGTGCCACGATAAATAGAGAAAGACCTCATACTTAGATTTTTGAAAAATTGCGTATTTGTCGAGAAAATCGGAAAAGAGTCAAAAGTGTCAAATCACTATAACAGCTTGAAAAAATTAAATTTCATAAAACTTATGATGCAGAAAGTTAAATTGATGTGTTTTGGTCCTACGAGTCCTAATTTGACAATTGAAAAGAATGTACAAACCCACAAGATAAGAGGAGGAAAAATGTGGAATTCTGCTATAATTTCGCTTTTTTTTTACAGCAGTACATGAACAGAAAAAACTTTCCATTCAGCTAATTAATTGTAGCCTGTAAAGTATCAAATGAAAGCTATTTCAATTCCCTAAATTTGTTTCCGAACAAGAATGCAAAAATATACAGTGGTTTCATAGCTATAGCGTCTGGCGTATCTGGTTACTTTAGGAACCGATATGTGATAAAGGGTTAAATACCATTCTGTCTAATATCGAACGTCGAAGTGCTTGAACTTTTTGTCGACGCACGTTTTGTTTTAATTACGAGAGCAATTACAATCCATATTTAATTTCTTATATTGATGGTGGGAAAAATTTTGTATCACTTCTAATGTTTCCATTGCTTTTTTTACACACGTCAGAAAACTAGTTTATTTATTGAAATGGTCCTACAAATTTATAGTAGTTATCGCCGAAAATCCATTCATCTACGTAATCTACAATGAGGAATTTCATGGATAAAAAGAATCAGAAAAAAGTGAATCAACAGAGTCTTGAAAAAAGGCTATTTCAAGTATTTATCGCCAAAAACCAATTCGTCTACGTCAACGCACCTTAATCCACATGGATGAAACGGTTGCTCAACGAAAAAAAAAAATGTTTTGCAAAGCGTGTGCAGATGAGTTGAGTAGAGAAAATTTGTTTAAAATAAAAAAATGATCTGCAAATGATGCAAAAAAAATTGCCCGAATCGAAATGACTGTGTCAGAGTCACGAATCTATGTCGGTCAGACCTAATTTCATCCGAACAGCGCCTCTTGAACTCTTTTGCATGAACGCAAAAACATTGATTAACACACATTTTCGTGCAAATCGTATCGCATTCGATTTTTCCACCTTTTTCATGCTTTAACGTATGAGTATAAAGTATTATTAGAATCTTACTCGGAATAATCATGTAATCTATGACGATGCTGTTTGATAATATCTCAATAAAATTATATCATATAATCATTTATTTGGCTAGCCCAATGATTACCCAATTCAAGTGGAGTAAGCTTCGACTAAAGCCTACGTGTTTGAATAGTACTGACGCATCAAAATGGCATAGAAAAAATAGTCCAACCATTTTCGATGTCCGAGAAAAAGGTGAGCGAAGCGCATTATCGTTTGCAACTTCGTAAATATTACGCATACCGTTATAAGCGGCTTACAAAATGCTACTCCAACGATTATTCACTACAATAATGGTTGAACATGATGATAAGTGCTTCGAAATAGGATATAGAGGCATCACGAAGGAAATCTTAACGGTCCTGTAATTTCTTTTGCTTCTCTCGCCCTTTTTGTTTTCTATACATCTTGGAGGTGGATCGATTTTGTTTATTTTACTCATCATTCCTCATTTGTGGAGTTTCCCCCTTTTTTTCGAGTCGTACCTTTACTCCGATATTTTTCCCTTCGTTTTTGTCGGATTTCTTCAACGAAAATTACTTTATTGCCAACAAGTGACCGATAAATTTGTTGCGAAATGTCTTCAGCCGGTGTACGTGATGGGATGTTTCGGACAATTTTGTAGCATAAGATTTGACCAATCGTGAAGTTGCGAGAATTAACTGCACGTGTATGTTTCGGCTTTCTCACTATGTATAGAATAAATGGCCTTATCTCTATATCGTTTCGACGTCATTTACGTCTTATTTGCCTAGCATTTATTGTAAAAGTTACAGTGAATTTGTAGGCAAAATGTTCCGAACAAACTACGAGGAAAAGAAGTTTTATAGCGAACGTGAATAGAACTTTTGAGAAAACAATATTTCGTTTATGTAGCAACGGCATCATCACAGGGGATGAATAATGAATTCGACAAAAAGAAATTAGGACTACGAATCAAATCGAGAGAAAATAAGGCTCCACATCAGATTTCGAGATTGTAATCGTTTTCAAAAATTAGTCTTTGATAAAATTTTAAGTTTCAAATAATAAAAAATATGCGTTTTTCCAAAGACTTTGGAATATCTTCCAATTACAAAATGATTTATTCAATTGCAATTTCTTCATCCTATGTTGACAAATGACAGTGAAAAATATATTCGCGCAAATCGTTTGCAAATGTGCCTCTGTTGAGTGTATTGCGATGGTCATTCCAAAAATAGTTATCATGATTTGACTTGACAGCGAGCAATTTGTTTCCATTATAATTTAATCCAATTTTCATTTTATGGCTTGGGAATATTCTCACTCTTCGGCTAAATAATATTCAAAGTTGTGACGAGTATGATTTAAATTTTAAACACATGAAAATGGGTCAACGTGCTAATGTTTTAATCTGTATGTGACGCTAAGTTGCGAACTATTTTCTTCTGAATAAATATAATTTCCAAGTTGATTACAGTTTAAACCTTGAAACTTTAAGTCGCTTATTAGGCCACTATTCCATTAGCTGGTTTCGTCTTAATCCCCAACCATATATTTGAATGAGGATTTCAAATCGTGATTTAGCATTTCAAGAAAGTTATAAAATAGTTTCCGTCAAAACGTATTTGATAAAAGAGAAAAAGTTTCGTCTTGTTTGAACTGTCTGAATGTGTTTGGAATTCATTACGATTTGAATAAGCAAACGGGCGTTGGATAATCGACACTGTATATATCGCTTATTTTGCTTGTGCATCATATAATGATGGTGGGATCTGAGAAGCCACATTTCAATCTATCTGTTTCTTCGAAACTAATGAGAAGCGACACTGTTTATTTGTTTACTCTGTCGAACATGAATATGTGATAAGGTTTCTGTGGTGTTATTCTGAAACTTAATACATTCGACGACGTAGAAGAATAAGAAGAAAAAGACTAAAATAACCGAGCTCAATATCAAAAGATACATAAATCTCGATTCGACTTAAATGCGCGCACTGTTTGTCTAAATCTAAAAAAAATGGCAATTCGTTCAATCAAATCATAACCAAAATTTCTCCACGCGTACTTCTTTACGATGCGGAATAGAGTGTCTCCCAAGAATTGATCGAATGTCAAGTGTCGGCACATACAACAATAACTACAATTTTTTAGTTACCGATGAACAAATAAAGAACTCAGCCTGCACCAAGCATTTTGCGTTATCACCACGGTAATCTAAACGTATAAATTTGCAAGTAGTTATTATTCAATTGAAGCCACTTGATAAAATTGCATGAAGTGCGTTCGAAGTCGACTAAAGCTTAAACCGCGTACTGACGCAAGACTGTGAGCAGAGCACAGATGATAATTTTAGCAACTTGAAAATACTGTAGGAGTGAGAAAAAAAACTTTTCAGACTGAAAACCACTTGAAACGTTATCGAATCTCAGATTATTATTTATACAATGAAACAACGAGTACGTATCTGTACAGTGTATATTATACACGTTCAAATCATTTTTATTGCAAACACACAAGAAAAACGCGACCATTTTAGCATACACACTCATATCTTACGACGTTCCACCGAAACTGAGTATGTGAAATACACACAGGTTAAGCGATTGTGTGTTTGTGAGTCTTTATTAAAGTTATCATCATCATCATTTTATCAATGAACTACACTCAATACAAAAATTGGTAGCTTCACTCCCGGAACACATGAGGTCCAATTATTTAATTACAAATGCTACTTCGAACGTTAAGTGAATAAGTTGGCTTGCTTCGTTTTGCTAGCATTTTAGATTCGCTTTTGCCACATTCGATCGCAGCTCTTTGACTATCTCGCGAAGGTCCTGTTCAAGTTTATAGGCGGAATTCCATTTTAAAATATTCATTCTGTGTAGAAAATAAAAGTCCATTTTTTTGTACTTAATTGTTTGTTGAATTTACAAGTGAGGTATTTACTAGGTATTAGAACGGGTAAGCTCGAAAACAAAAATTCCGAACGGAATAAATGAAATTTCGTAATTAAAACGTTGAACAATTTGTTAATTCGAGGTATGCTGTTGTTTTCATCGATATTGGCGCGCAAACAAAAAGTATTTATATTATCAAATTCCTCGTTTTCAACACAATAAAGCAGTGTGAATAATCGAGCGTACAAATCTCTTAACAATGTTATTATTATCGACAAAGTTTTTTTTCCTGTTTTGTGTGAAATTATTATCGATTTTGTTTGAACGATCGTGATACAGGAAAAAATAGCCGCAATTGACCGATTCGAGGCGATTTTGTTGATTTTTATCTCAAAATAATCGGTTAGACGAATTAACATTGGAAAAATTATCGTTGTGCATTCACATTTTTTCTCTGATGGTTTATTTTCGATTTGTTGATTTTTAACATTAAATTAATTACATATTTGGGCCGATGAAAACGCGAAAATTAATGGCATAGCGTCCAAATTAAATAGAATTTTTTTTAAAAATAATGAAATATTTGTTCGTTACCAGATGGGTGCATTGGTATGCAGTCCATGGAAAAATGCAAGTTTTTTTTATGTGCGCTCGAATTGTAAACGTAATGCCCGTTTAATGTGAACTCCGCATTGTTTGTGCCTACATTTTTTTTTTGCTGTTTGTCATAATTAATTTTCGAGTTAATTTAATATCTTTCATCAACCGTTTATTTCACGATGCACACAGTTCAAATAAACCGAATTGTTATTTAATCAAAGTGATCAAATAATATGTGAAAATAAAAGAGAGTTAAACTGAGCGAATTCCCAAAAGAACGCAGTGTAAAAATGTCGTCGCTGTTTAACACTGAAATTCATTCACAGAATACGCACTAATTGTAAATAAATAGCACCCTTAGCGCGCAACTATGAACGTTACAGATGGGCTTTTTGTTGTACGGTGCCACCATTTCGCGCATTGAACAAACAACCGAGACTTCTGCATTATGCATATTTCTCACTTGTTTACTTTTGTTTCGATTTGCATTTTGCAACGCGCTGCATTGGTGTTGTGTGTGTGTGTGCTTTTTCGGAGTTGTCAACCGGAGAATGTAGCCAGCCAGCCAGCCATCCAGCCAACCAACCAACCGCTGTTGAACACTATTTGTACCAACACCTTTTTTAATTAACTGCAATGCATAATCATGGCCAATGCATGTGCGCCTGTATTCCCTGTCAACATTAACAACCAGTACTCTTTGCCTGGGAAAACAGCATTCGCGCTCCAGTCCATGCACCCGATTGCATTGTTGCTGTTGTTTTTGTTTATAATTACACATGTACTTATTTTTATTTTTTTTTCACCGAAAAATGTAAACATTTGCGTAGTGTTTTCGCATGAAAATCAGTTGCGCAGTAGTTGAATGAATGGCGAAGCACCAAGTTACATTTATAAGGGCAATTGAATGAAATCATGGCGTTTGAATGACATCTTCTATTATCATACTGGCTCACGTTTTTTTTTGTTATCACTAGCCTGATAGACACAACATACAAATCTTTTGTTGTTTGTTTACATTTCGAAATGTGCTGAAAAAAAAGCGGTGAAGTGTATGTACTCGTTTTCAATGTAATTTTTTTGTTCGGTATCGAACATATCTGTTGAAAACTAGAATCCAATTTTCATTGGTGTTTTTTTACGCAATTTTTTTTTATCTTTTCGGGTATGACGACAAATGCCTGTGGTGTAAAATGTGCAAACTGTCGCTTTAGAGAATTTAATTGGAAACAAACAAGCGACCAAATTGTGTGCAACGTATAAAACAGCGCATATTTTGGGATGAAATGCAAAGTTGATTTTGTTCATCGATTCTTCAATCGAATTTATCCAAAAAGTAAATGTTTCCATAAAAGATCTCATATATTAGAATGTCCATTCAAAGTATTCCTATTCAGAGAAATCAAATCTTGAATTTAAACTCAAACATTCGTCATTGAGAGTCAAAAATTCTGATGCGCTGTACGCTATTTTGCATCTCATCAATAAATTCACACACTTTTCGTAGGTTCCATTTTATTGGTGTCGCGTTCAAAGTGTCGCAAGTAGGATAGTTTGTCGGTGAAAAAAAATTTACTATCAACAATGTTGGATAACATTTCCAAACAACCAAGCGAGCAGTGTAATCAAATTTCCGCTTATGCGCGCTCGTCGTTTCGCCGTCAATTTCGTTGTTCGTTGGACAAACATAGCTTCAATCATGCACATCAAACAACAGGCTAGACAACTTTATCCAACAAAGCGTTCTTACGTTGAAAACTATTTACTTTTTAACCAATGAGCTGTTGGCAACGACCCACTTCATAAGGATCGATAAATTCAAAGTAAATATAGCGTTAATTGTTGATTGTTAATTCCTTTGTTGAATGAAATGGTCGAGGCTACTTTCTTTATTCTTCGTCGAGTGTTTGCTTTCGAAATTGTGATTCAACTCATTAAGTGTCTGGATGTGAGATGTATAAAGACGATAAAGTCCAAGCGATTACAGTGATTTGCTTGTTAAGCGCACGTTGAGTACTTGCAATCAATCATAATCAGATGACATTATCCATGCGCCACGCTACGCGCGTTGCAATCTCAGCCCAAACAATTTCTTGTGTATACAACGTTGGTACATGGTATTTGCTTTGAGCTCATTGAACTTAAGATATGAAACAGTGTGACCGATGTCCATTTGTTTACACACTTTTTTTTGGGTAAATCAAAAACTCTTCCGTTATCTCTTAGATTTCGTGTTGATAACAATTAACAACTTTTGTTCAATTTAATGAGAGATAATTGTGAATGAAAGGCTGTCATTGACATCTGTTGAAATTCTCAAAACATGAAAATTCCTAGGAAAAATCTCTTTTAAATCTCTATTAAATGAACCTTTTCATTATCAAGAAATCCTTCTCTAAAATCTAATTCTATTTCCGATTCTTGAGCCCGCATTCCGGTCTGACGCTTACAATTAACCCCTATCTACTCCATCGCTTCTGCTAATGGTTGGTCAATATGTACTAAATAGACCAAAATCTCCAGATCAATGTCAAGATGTGTAAAATTCCAAGTGTCTGCACCGTGGACGATTTACATTATGGATTGATAGTAAAAATTTTAAAAGTTTGGCTCTGCTTTGTTTCGTAATCTGAATTCTGTTTGAAGTTTTGGAAATGGTTCGATGTATACAAGCATTAAACGGAGTATCTCATTTAAAAAACATCGACTGTTTTACTGTTATTTCAGGAAATAGCTAAAGTGCTCTATCAAAATGGCAGCCGAGGATGCAGCGTTCGACAAAATTATGGAAATGGTCGGTAACGATGGAGCCTTTCAAAAACGATTCAACTACATTTATAATGCAGCGATGGTCATTTTTGGAGGCATGTCCTTTATGAATATTATATTAGCCTTAAATGTGCCGGATCACTGGTGTCATGTGCCGGGTAGAGAGCATACAAACTACACACTGGAACAATGGAAACACTTAACGCTGCCAAGGTGATTATTCTAACGAAACATTTACATTGTGTTCACTGTTCAGCATCGAGTTTTTTTTTTCCATCCACATTCATACACTCGCACACAAAGTTTCAATAACAATCAATTGACCAGCAACAAAAGTTACTAAATTAGAAATAACCGTAATAATTCATGGTATATGTTTGAACATTCTAGCTTAAATCACTACAATGTTGCACATATTTGTGAATTAAATCCAAATATTTTATTGATTTGCATCGTATTTCAAAACTCACACATATTTCAAAAGGTCAGTCTCATTGGTTATGCTACGAAATGTTGAGTTCATTGTTGAGTTTGCACACACACGCTGAAAACCGCATATGGCGCATACGTTCGTTCGATGATTCGTCGTTTTCATCGCTTTGGTCGTCGCTGATTATTTGACCATACACGACAATACGATTCATATCCTCATGTGGCTTTTTACAATCGGATTAGTGCAAAAGCTTGATATTTTCCCGTTTTAACCTGAATTCACATCGTATTGCCTCCGATTTGCCGCACACACAGACACACATGCCCACATGTAGCATGTAATATTAACAAGCAAAATGCTCTTTCGCTCTCTCGCACCAGCTGGGTTTTAAGCTCAAATTTCAGTCTCACTGTTCGCCGATATGAATAATTTTATCTGTGGATAATAATAAAAAGATGCGAAAACCGGTTCATGCAAATCGATGCAACAAAGCGTTCATAAATAAATTGTTTACTTGTTTTCAATTTCCTGCTTTTCGTACAATCGATGTGTGTTGTGTTCACATTTCGAATTGAAATTCACATTTCGAGATCATGAATTTATGTACATAACGCGCTCGCGTTCGTGGTAGCGGTGCTGTTATTTCTGCTCATGCAATTTGCTCGCAACTCAACGATAACCGCACACAATTTCATTCCACCGAATCATAATGAAATATGAGCTTGTGTATGCTTAATAAACCGCTGTCTGCATTTACACATACTTTATGCTTCTGTAAGTGGGGCGGTTGGGAAGTCGTTCGAACAACGAATGATTTTCCGATCGATTTGTCATTAGCCATGGAGAGTGGTAAAAAGTTCGTATCGATTGATATCGTCGAAATTATCATTAAAGTTTAATAAGAATTGTATTTACACCAAACAAATAAACGTTTAAGCATTTTGTATCACCGTCCACGAATTTCGATCCATTTCTCATGAAACTAATCACAGCCCGAATTGAGACGTTCCTCGACTGAAAATCCCCCAATGTACTCATTCGATACGGCAGAGAGAGAGAGAGAGAGAGAGAGAGAGAGAGAGAGGGGAAACGGTTTTATACGGTGTTATTTATTTTCGATTTGGTTTTGTTTTCTTTCTTTTTTTTTCTACAGGGAGACCGATGTAAAGGGTTTGACTACGTTTAGCAAGTGCCAAATGTACGACGTGAACTGGACAACGATTCAGTCGTGGGATTATGAGAATTGGAATTCAACAAGGCATCACGAAAAACTCAATGTTTTAGGTAAATATTGGCAAGTGATAAAATTGAACAAACGAAACCAAAACAAAAGAAAAACAACAACAACAACAACAACAAAATCGGGTCCCAGGAAATCACGTTCGCTTTATCTGGCTATTGCACATTGCATTCTAACGACACCGACTGCACTTTGGCTCCTTTTCGAATGGATCGTCGGAATGGTGATGTAGCACTCGCTTCAACCGAGGGAAATCAAATTCAACATTTGAGCATACCAATTCCACACTGGCAATCGTTGCATTCCATTTAAATTCACACCAAGCGCCTAATTCTGCATCACGAAGTATGGCAAATTAATCGAAAAAATTCGATACCCACACACAGACACATATACACACTTGGACTTCGGGAAAACACTCTCCACTATAGAACAGATTGGTTTTTGCTCCTCGAAACAGGGCAACAAAAACCGAACAAAAAATACAAATATTTAGCCCCCCGTTCGGTTTGTTTGTCTTTTGTATACTAATTTTAGTGTCGATGCTTTGGGTTTTTGGATTTATCGTATTTAATCGTCTACGTTAGATTTGTACATGTTGTTATTCGAAGGTTGTTCCGCTGTGGCAATCAATGATACTGACACACACTCACACACAGAGAGAGAACAGCTTAACATGAATTTATGGCAAAGGACATTAGCCGAGACAATGAGCTCGACTCGCACAGCGTCACACTCTATGAATTGTTATTCGTCGAATAATCTTCATTTGATTTGTAAAATGCCACCGAATCACGAATACTATGTGTTGTGTGGATTCACACTCGAGCTTAGCAGCTTCTTATATCAATACGGATTGCTATTTTCCCGTTTTTCATTACGCAACCATGCAATCAACTCTCTTGGTCTCGACCTCCTTCGACATATTGAGTGAATAAATTCCTTTCGTGTCAATCACAAATGCTAAACGGCCTTACGATTATTTGCGTTGTGAGTAGCCAGCTGAAGCAAAGATAAAAATAATGAACTGATTTAATTGACGGATAACATCAAAAGGCTTCAATCAGAAATCAGTACAAGCAAAACAATTTGTTAAGTAAGCGCCTTTGTTTCGTCTTATCATGCTCGAGTTGTTTCCTCAAGACGGTGAAAAATTTCCGCCGATAATTTGCTATCGGATAAAGTGTGTATGTGCTAAAATTAAACAAACCTTCATTGGGTGAACGCGCCGTGTTTCTTTTTTCATTCTACAAATAGGGCTCTTATAGAAAAAAACAGGAGAAAAGTATCAATGCGGGACTGATGAATCGAAAATGAATTGCTAGAATCGGAAAAAAGAAGAAGAAGAAATAAAATATATAAAATTCATGCAATGCGACAGTTTGATTTGTCGGGCTACGAAATTGTGTCCCATTTGAAATTGCATTACGATTTATTTCAAACGAATTTGTTTTGTCGCATAAGCGAACCCCATTTTTTGTATAGCTACCGGTACACCGGTAAGTAGTTGGGTGTGCTGAATGCCTGTGACCCGTAACACATTGGACCGAAAATTAGTTTTTCCTCAAACATTTTCTTCTATTTCTATTTTTTTTTTGTCTCGTTGTTGGTTGCCATTTTGGCCGATCGGTGTAGATTGTGATGTTCGGGACTACGATAAGACATGGTATCAAAGCACCATCGTTTCTCAGGAGGATTGGGTGTGCTCGAAAGATATGTATCAAACAAATACATTTGCACTGAATCGCATCGGCGAAGTAATCGGAACATTTTTTTTCGGCCAGTTAGGTGATAGGTGAGTAGTACATGTGACACATTCCATTGTTATTCCATACATTTTATCATTCTCCCCCTTCTAATTTTAGATTTCTAAATCGAACGGAAAATGAATTCGAAGTAAAATCGAAAATGGGTTGGCACCATGTCTGTATCGTTAGCATAGTGTACATTTGCTAAAAAAAAAATACAACATAAACTTGCTCTCAAGAGGATTCACACTGAATAACGTCTGTGTGCAAGACTCGGGGCCCAAATCAATGGCATCAATATATTTTGTAAACCTAACTTGAATTCATTTTCCAATTTTCGTGATACAAATAACGTCTCGCTTGCATATTTGCACAAATCAAACAAAATGTACACAAACAGTATGCGAATGAGATTTTATTATTATTCCGACGAATCGATTTATTTTTCGGAATTTTACTAAAATAGTGTGTAGAAGCCGGTAGAAACATTCTTCTTTTTTTTGCTTTGGTGGAAGCAAATCGAATGGTTCGATAAGCTTATGCATGCGTCAATGACTCACCAGATTCGGTGCCGTGAGATGAAGAATGGATCCGATTTCCGGATCAAGGTTTTTCCTTTGAAATCATGTTTAAACGGCGTATCAAGGTGGTTAGCATTTATGTTCACTTCGATATATGTATCTATAAAACGATGTGAATGTGAATTGAGCGAGAGTGAGAAAAAAAACCAGCCAATGATAAATCATTGCTGATAAAGACACATTGCGACATCTTATCGACGCCAGAAAAAAGATGGAGAAGAAAATGATTTATGCCCGGAGACGGAGCCGTCTCGAAAGTTGATATAAAGTGTTTTATAGGCTAATGATATTTTCACACTCTCACACAGAGAAAACCATCTGCAAATGATTTTAAACGAATTTCTCTCTCGTTGCCCCTCGTTTTCAATTTTCCCAGGTTTGGCAGGCGGATAATTTTCTACATCAGTGTTTCGTCGATTGTATTCGGTCGAATCGCAACGATGTTCACAACATCGTATTTTACTTGGTTTTCAATTGTATCGATTGTCGGCAGCTTTTGCGCCATTTCACTCTTTCAATCACCATTCATCATAGGCATGGAAATCAGTAAACCGTAAGTCAATCCATGATTTATATCCATTTAAACAGTTTTACTATAAATTCTAAAGATATTCATTCTCAGTTTTGTTTGGTCAATGATTTATTGGTTTTCTAATTTATATCACGGTCAAAAGAAATTTACGCTCGATCTAAAAACATTCAATATTCCGTTCTGTTTTTGGGATGAACAAACTTTGCAATTTTTCGACATTTTAATGAGATTTAGAAACTATGATTGATAATTTGGGGGCATGTACTGCTGAGGCCAATGCACTTCAATTAAATAATTGAAATAAATTAGAAAGCTTCATTTTGAATATAGAGCTAAATCTTAATATTAAATTCAATTAGAAATCTGTGAAAATAAATCGATTAATCAAAAGGACGACACTGTCTGCCCACTTAGTTGCATCTTCAATTTTGTGAATAAATAATTTACAGTGATTAGATAATGCAAACTTATGATGGCACATAGAGAAGAGAATTAGTGAACCCTGCAAATTCTATTGGTGAAACGTCAAACTTCCAATAGATTGTTTCAAATGTAGCGGTGAATTCAATACAAATGACACAACGCAAGTCGCAAGTCACTTACGTAGTATTAGTGAACGAAATTTCTCACTTGTACTGAAATTACCAAGACGTTTGAAACAATTCATTGGTAGTTTGATATTTCACCAATAGAACGATTTTGCCTAACAAACTTCATTCTCTATGTGCGAGGAAATCAATTATAATGAACACACTCTTTTGCACATTTCAGAGACGATCGAGCAAATGTTGCCGTTATCCAAAGTTTGGCCTGGACCGCTGGGCTATGTATTTTGCCATTCATCTACTGGGTGGTGGGCGATTGGTTCACTTTCTTCTTAATTACGTCACTTCCAATGCTGATATTCCTGTTCATTCCAACGTACTGTCTTCAATTTTAGTCAATTGTGTGTGTGTGTTCATCTGTGATAGACAATTTATATTCACATGATTAGAATGAAGAATATCCCCATTTAGTTTGCGATATTACAAAAGGGATTTGAATAGAGTGACACATTATGTTCAACGGTACCAAAATTCACAAAATGAAAAATGTACAAAAATAGTGAAACATCTAGCAAGTTTCAAACTACATCTGAATTTGAGTCAAATCAAAGGTGTTCAACAGACGAACCGAAATGTTCCTTTCCTTCTTGCTTCTTTTATTCTTTATTCATGAAAAACAATCATTTGTTTCAGTATATTCTTCGTTCGATTGAATCGTTTTGTCTGTAGAACATCACGGGACTGGAAAAAGCGCAACCTATTTATTGTTTGAATTTATTTAAGTGCTTAAATGTCCTCCGATCCTGTAGTTGTTCCTGCACTATTGCATAAAATAGCAAAATCAGTTGGCTTGTTCAAAAATAATGACTCGAGTTACTGGGATTGATTTGTATTCACAGTAAATTGATGACAACCGATTGAACGAAATGACAATTTGCACAGCGCAACGCTGTATTTGTATTCATTCCCTTTGTTTACGCTAAATGTGAATGGCGATTGATTCGTGCAAAATGACACTGATGACACATACAGTTGGTCTGATTTCTCTATCTCTATTTATCTTTAAATTCAAAACTCAAATGCATCCGTTTAATTTGCATTTACGCAGCTATATGATCGAGTCGCCACGCTGGCTGGTTAACCGGGGAGAACTGGCCAAAGCGGCATTTTATTTGAATCGCATTGCCAAAATCAATAACAAACCAATTAAGCTGAATGAAAAGGTGCTACGTACCATGTTACCAAATGAGGAACGTGAAAAAATTTACGGCATGCTGTCGCTATTCAGCGGCTTTCGCCTGGCGAAGAACACAACGATTTTAATTATCTGCTGGTAAATCGAATGGAAATATTAACATTTCCTCCATCTATTTTCCCCTGATTATTTGTGACTCTTGTACTATGACTGTAATTAACATAGTTTTATCCCATTCAAATGAAACCGGGTGGAAGCGAATGGAAGATTTCAAAATTCATTTAATTAGATTGCTGCTGGTTGGATGAGAGTGAGAGAGAGAGAGAGACCAAGTGCGCAATTGCTTTTTCTTTTGAGTGCATTACATTTTGAAAAGTTTATCGGGGGAAAATCGATAGAGACATTTTAAATTGACAACACCACTGCCACTGCCATCGCACCGACACATACAATCTCTCTCGTAAGCCAGATTCGGATATATGATGAATGGAGTCGCGTTGTCGATTTAAAGCGCATTGAATTGATGTAACGAGCATTAATTAATGTATTGATTGATTTGTATTCAATTTACTTTATGTGAAAATAACGATGCATCGTATGGGATTTAAAATGATGTGACTCGGCATTGGCTCGGTTCGGTTCGACTCGACAGGATGATTTGCACGCTCGCTTATTTCACATTAATCCTATACATTGCCCAAGCCGATGGAAATCCCTTTTTGAACTTCTTCATTCAAAGTGCAATCGAAGCCCCAGCATTTTTCCTTGCCAATTATATGGGTGAGTTGCTTCCGTGTTCTCATGTCATTTGCATTTGACATGACTAATAATAATTGATTAAAGTTTCGCAAATTATTTTCTCTCTATTTTTCTCCTCCATACACACACAGCCAACACGGTCGGCCGACGATGGACAAACTCATTTTCATTCATTTTTGCATCACTATTTTGCATTCCAACGATTATACTCGCTAATTGTAAGTTTTAAAGTTTTTGAATCACATTGAAATGAGTTTTGTTCTGATAACGGACAACTTAGGCAAACATTTTAGCCGGAGATTTTTATATCTTCTTCGGAATGGGCTAGCTCTTTGTTGCTGACAAGAGCTTTAGCTATTCCGCACATCATCTTGACTTTGAAATCACAGTTTTCTATCATTTTATCCACCATCTTCTTTCTTTCCGTCTCGTTTGAAATGACACCCCAGACGTTGAATGGCAAATGGTCGCAACATGCTCGGTAGTTGTTGTGAAATTTTGGCTCGCCATAACATTCTTTGTCATCAACCTGCAGGCCATGGAAACCTATCCCACATGCCTGCGTCAAACTGGATTGTCCATTGGAACCATTGGCTCAAATATTATTGGTATTTTCGGTCCGTACATCGTGTATCTGGTGAGTTAACATTCATTTTGTTTTAAAATTCCCGGCTTTGTGTCTCTTTACTTTGAAAACAAATCTTCTTATGCACAGGGGGTGGCTCTTCAATTAAAAGTTTCTGGACAAGAAATGAAAGTGTCAGTGGAGATATTTTAGAAATTATCGGAATATTTCATTGGATCCGATTTAGCTTGTTAAGAACAAAAATTGTTAAAAGTTGTTATCTTTTGTTTGAAATAACGAATTTGAAGAAAAATGTGTGCCTCATCTGCAAATGATTATTTATATGGAAAGTTATAATTTTTGTTCTAGTCAAAAATTTGAACTACAAACAAAATGATCTTTTTTAGCAATAAATTATTCAATTCAGAACTGAGACACGTACGGTGCTCTTTTGTGACTATGAATTCGGTTGACGTTTCAATTCTATGGACGCTGCCATATTGAAAATTTACGTGCGATATGGTGCACGCACTCAATAGTTCCATTTATTTTAATAAGGAATCTATATAGGTGGCGCTGCCACATCGTCATTCACATCGATCCAAATATCGTCAAATATAATAACATTGTTTAGTATATAGGCTTTTAGCGCAGTACGCTGAGACAGTGCACAATTACGTTGCTGCCAAAATTTTGTACAAATTCAAATAACAAACTAATGATTGCATTAAAATTCCAGTGAAATGCTTTGAGTTAAATAGAAAATTGATTCATGGCAAGAATATTTACTAGAATTTCTTGCCAACAACAAAACAAAACGCTGAAATCTTCTTGGCTGAATGTGCCTCTTTGATGATACCTCTGTCATGATCTTTATTCGTGCGGCAAGAAATTCACTTAGCATTTTGGTGACCGGAAACTTTTATTCACTTTTCGAAAGAATCACTCATGAATAAAACGATTCTCGCCATACAATTTTTTTTTTCATCATTTTCTGGTCACAAACGACTGCTACTGCTAAGTATCCAGTTTGCTGCCAGGCACTGTCTCATTCATTGTGGTCGGATAAATAAGGAACTTTACTTCCGCACGCACACAATAGTTGTTGTAGTGCGTTTGTGTGTGAGACAAATAAAGAAATTATTAAGAGTTCTTCCTTAAACTGCTTTTGGTGCGAGATAAAATGAGCAACTTTGTTTCCTGGCGCTTCAGAGCGTGGCCGGGTTTGAAAGTTTTCAAAACAGAAGTCGTTGAAAAGTCGGTTTTCAGTGAGTCGACAGATAGGAAATATATATACAAATCTGATAGTATTGTTTGCAAATTATTGCTGCTATGGTGCGCAGAGAAAAGTTCATTTCAAGCTTTTGTTTTGAAAATTGATTTTCCTTTTGCATGTTTTGTGTGTGTGTGCCGGAGTGCAGCCGAAATATGTCTGCTACAGTTCGATCGACACATCCACAAGTTCGAAATATTGATTGCATTCAACACCGAAACACACAGGATTTGTATTGATCCTCTTTCGGGCGTCTAATTCAATTGTGATTTCGGTTTATTTCAATGTGCTTTTGCACTTTAATTAAAAATGATTTGATGATGAAAATCAGTGAGTCACACGTACACAAACAAAAACACCAAGACCAAATTATATTTAGCATATTGAAAGTTTTCCGTCCGTCTTCCTGGCACTCTGCTAAATAAACACAAGAAAAAGTACGATGCTTGAATATACAACTTCTGAATGCGCTCGAATATCGAAACTATTATCAGTACAAATACACACTCAGGCGAACCGAAAGTCTCTCACTTATTCACTTCTTGTTTCATATTCATACTCACAGCACGCAAAACTTCCTACAACACAATAGACAAAAGATTAAAATTTTATTCGTTTGTTGTTTGCAGAGGAAGGGTGGGAGAGAGAGAAAGAGAGAAACAGCATAGTGGATGGCAAGTCGACATGGCCAATTTTTGGCGATGCCACTCGTCTTGTGCATTTTCGTTATCATGCTTTGGCAAGACTTGCACACTTATTTACGAGTATTGTTTTATCTATGGCATCATCACATTCACCGATGGAAACAAACACTTCCGAAGACGCTCTCTATCTCGGTGTCTTGAAAGCAAAATTGCATTTCCTTGCAAAACAAAAATACAAACACTCGAACTATTCGAATATTTGGCACTCATTTGGCCAATAAATAGTGGCAAAAGCTATGAAAATGGCACTCTCTCTCTCTCTCTCCGGCCCCATCGCTCCGCTTTGATTTCTCCGCTGACTTAATTTTAATTAAATTTATAAACTGTACAAACTTCCAAGAAGATGCCAGGTCTGGTGGCTAGATTTCACGTAATTTGTGTACTTGAATGAAAGTTCCATGCCCACTTGTCTCGTTATTAGATAGGGAAAACTGTCTTGGTGGTGGTTGAAGTGCTTGATTCGCTTAAAACAAAACATGTTCTAATTAAAATTCGGTTAATCAACCGAACGCATAGTTTTTAACCGAAGAAATTGGAAAGTACAGTAGAGAGAGTAATTGACCTGATTTTAATCCTTGCTTTCACATCAATTGCAGGGCCAAAAATTCGACAACCGGTATCCAATCATGATTCTGTTTGTACTTTGCATCCTTGGATCAATATGCGGACTATTCTTGCCTGAAACACTGCATCAAAAACTTCCCGACTCAATGAACGAAGCACGGGTGTTTGGTGCCGACCAGGTATGATCGATTTTTCTTCAAATATAATTAAATTGAAAATAAAAGCGATTCCCGATGTTTCAAGAAAATTCTTTTTTTTTCTCCATAGAAATTCTGGAGTTTACCTAAAAAAGCCAAAGGGGAAGACAAAAATCACAATCTTACAACCGATGAATTGGAAAGACTTGATCCTTTGCTGTGAAACACCTTTGATCAGAGTTATATTCAATTCGATTTATCTCCAAAGATAACATTATTTTGCCCAAGCTGCTGGTGACAGGATCTAGTTTATAATAGCTTTGACTACTTTGAAAAAATTGTTGTATAAAATATGTATTATATAGGCTTTAAAATTTTGTTGATTTTTTTTCTAAATTACACTTTGAATAGAATTCGTTATCATTAAGTCTTAAATGTAATTGTTAATTAATTCAGAAAAAAAGTGCAAATAAAAAAGCTCTTTAAGCCGATTCGCACAAGGCAATTGTTTCTATTTTAAAATTCACACAAACCTCTTGGGAACGTTTAAGTGTAAAATGTTTATCTCGTTCGTCATGAGGTCTATTAATTAAGCCCGACAGAGCATAAAATTAGATAGAACACGGTGTGAATGCAACGTAAACGCAGCATATTCTTCAGGGTAATGCCTGCAGTGGATGAAAATAAAAGGATAAACCATTTGGAACCATGACATTGGCACACAAAAAAAGACACAGCCATTTGCCCAGCATTGTGTGCATTTTAGTTCGCGAGAAACTTGAATGAAGCCATAAAGTTCATCTTCCCCCATATTCATATTGTTCTTCTCATTCTGCAAGGCAAAAGCGCGTGCAAAATGGGGGAGTAAAAATTGTACGAAAAATAAATAATTAAAAAGAATGGTTTAATAAATTAAAAGAAATGTTTTTCTTCGTGCCTTTTATCATTTCTGTGTGGCCGAAGAAAAAGTGTCTTCGACGAGGGGGTTACGATAGCCAAAAGAAATTTATATGCATGTGCGTGCATAAAATTGATAGCGAAAACGACAACGACAACGAAGAAGAAAGAACAGAAGAAAGAATAAAAATGTGTGACAACAGTCATTCGCTATCGCTTGGGTGAAAAATGAAACAAAAACAACGAAAAATGAACAATGAAATCAACGACCGAAATAAAAGGAGAGAATAAAAAGAATGTCACGAAAAAAGGAAGACTAGATGATAGAAAGTGGAGCTTATAGACACAAAAACTCGGCGTATAATTAATTATGGATAAAGATAAGAATGAAGAAGAAGAAAACAAATGCCGGCCTGCAAACGAAACACAAGAAAGCGACAGAAAAAAACGGAATGAAATGGCCAAGAAATTGAAGTGACAGAGGAAGTACGAAGAATGCTCAAAGGATTGTGGCCAATTAAATTTCAGTCAATATTTCTTATTTTTATTCTTTTCGCATTTTTTTCTTTCGCCTTTTTTGCCGTTCTCGTTATTACGTTTGCCGCCTGGTTTTCCTCAACATTTTGTCTCGCTTTCATGCTGTGCATCACAGCTCTGTGAATGCGTTGATACTTATCGGACAGCGATCACTTTATTTTCCAAAGCGAACACGCGAACCGTTCTGTTTAGCATGTATTCGACTCCTTGTACATTTATCTATTCATTTTCTGAATGAAATGTATGTTTTTTTTTGTCGTTCTCATTCGGTTTCACAGTAAACAGAGACGCGCACACACACGCACACAGCAGCCAACACACGCCTGACGTATCTGCGTGTGGAACATTTTTGCCATAATATTTTACTGTAAGTCAAGTGTTCTGTGTTTCGTTCGGGTGCACTCGTTAAGCTAATTAATAATCTGACTGTCTAGCATCTTGGGTTATTTATGTGCGCTCTGCACATAATTTTCTTTTTTTTGCTTTTTCTTCTTCTTCTTCGTTTCCCTTCGCTTTCCATTTCCTTATCTTATCTTAGCTTAAGTTTGTACCGTGTATCTTCTAGCAGTGATGCATTAGATCCAATATAAGCGTACATTCATCTCTCCGGTGTGCCATTTAGTTGGGCCATTCTCATTTTGATTCCCCATTAACATTTTCAACTTGCTGCCGGTCGAAATACATGTACGCACAGTGGTGTAGTTCACAGGTTGAGGCCGCATATAATGCTATACAAATAAATCGAATCTTTAATTTAAAGAAGATTTGCATTTGAATGATGTGCACAAATGAGGGATATGCCAAGCGAAAGAAACCCCACCCTGAAATGCATTAAAAGAAAACGAAATGCTGGAAATAATTGGAATTTCAACGTAGAAATGGACCTTTGCTTGCATCCGAAGGAATAGCTACAACATCTATCTCTCGCTCTCTTGCTCTTGCTCTCGTTCCAAACAAATTATGCCATGACTCTTCACAGTCATGAATCAAAGTAGCGAACAGGACGAATGAACGAACGAACAAAACCCGACACACAAAAACGGAAACTCACAAGCCAAAACATTGAGCTATATGGATGGCAAATTCAGTGGCACAAATCACACTTCGTTACAGTTAACGTAAAAATATTACCCACTACTCTATCGCTGCTCGCTATGCATCTGCCATTAATAATCGCATTCACCAACAAAACGAATAATACGCTCAATTTTATTAGTTTCTCTCCCTCTCTCTCTCTGTATTTTTTGTTCGCTTTTTTCGGGTTTGCTTCAAAAGCCACTTCGTACACAACAACAACAACATATTCGGATAGATTTGGAGTCTGATTCTTTGGCACGCCACTGAATGGTTCGTGTTTTAATTTTCCACTTGTCTGCTTTGCTTTATGAAAATGCTGTCATTGCGTTCAACATTTTTCGATCGTAGCCAGCACAGAAAAAAAAACACACACACAACCAGAGTAAAAGGAAAAAAAGTGCGGGGTCTGATTTTGTCATTCTTTTGAGTGTTTATGTAACACCGACGCATCATATCTACTCCATGGCAAATGTATTTCGATGTATGTATATTTTGCGTCGGTAAATTGTGAAGATAAATCAGCATTGGCATGGATTGTTGTTATCTTTTTGTTGCGACGGTTGAATGAGCACAATGTTTTTGTCTAAATGAAATAAGCATTTAGACTGAACCCAAAGAAAAAACATAAGCACCGAAAAAATTTACCAATTTATTTAAAAACAAACATCATTCGCATCGAATTTACAGCAACGTCATTAATTTGTCTGCTCTTGAAAATAATTAAAACACTATTTTCCCTGTAGTAGTGCTCGGGTTTGCGAATACGTTCGTGTGTGCGTGTCCATTGTTCGGTTTGGCTGCCAATTCATGTTTTTGCTTCGTTTCACTGTTTGCTTAGGCAGTTTTCGCTGAATGGCAGTGTACAAGTTGTGCGATACAACAGAGCTATAAACTGAACGTGATACGAATCCAACTCAACGCACATTGACATGCACGTGCAATGATGTGTGCGATGGATGCATACGATATTCAATTTTCTATTTATTCTACTACAACAATGATATGGACTCGTTTTTATCGTCGTTTCATGAGCCGATTGAATTATTAGCCGAGCAATACATGCGACTCACATCGTTTAGCCAATAAATAATGAAAATCCATAAAAACATTTGTTGTCACCGCGATTACTATCAATTTTTATGTCTATTCGAACATTTCGACTTTTCCCATAGAATTTCAATGTTTACCGATTTCGTTTGGGTATTTACAATGTCAAGGGCTCGGTCAGGGTGAGTTCAGTTTGTTAAGTGTAAGTTCGAAAAATCAAATTCAGACACTTTGTTGCCAATAAATTGGATGAATTTTTAATAAAATGGTTTAGAATGTACGAATTGGGATGACATTTTTTTGTAACTTTTGTGGTATAATCATGATATATCATGAAATATGTCAACAAACCAAGCATATATATTTATTGTGGTAAACATTAGTTTGGGTTAAAATTTCCGTTCTTATTTCGTAGAAACAAATAAGAAGTTTTAATCCGATTTCCCTTTTTGACAGCGACGTGAAATGAAAACGAAAAACTTAAAAAATAAAACCCATTCGGTCATACAAAAGCCACTGCGATGTCAAAAAGAAAAATTAAAGGCAAAAAGCTTAAAAAGTAGAAATGTGTCATCTTAAGAGTGACAAAGAGGGAGAGAAAAATAAAGTAAACAAATTCTGAGGGAAAAATGGAAACATTCTGGAAATTTAATCAAATGTATAATAATATCGTTAGAGAGTGTCTTGAGAAAGAACGTTGAATGTTGGCAGTTTTCAACCATTGGGAATGAGGAACACCGCAAACGCACTTTCAAATGTGTTGTATACCTAAACACACATATACGTTGAATCGGGAACTAAATGTACGAATCCATGTTGTTTCTTGCCATTTTCGCCTGTATAGTATTTACTCATCATAACCAAACATAATATTCACATGTCATAAAACGTATATCATGCATGCTTGTTCTCTACATGACGTAAAAATACACTCGATCAAGTAAACGCGGAAGACACATATCCTTTTTTGTTCACTCGCTCCATCTCTCTCTGACTTGAGATGCACACGACACACGGCATGTACTGATGTACTGCTGACACACACATTAATTTTTGAGGAAATGATTTGAGGAAATATTGTGTATAAATCAAGTTTAAGTGAAGAAAATCATCTATGTAAGCGGCTTTTCCACATTTATCATCATTACATTGATGGTGGTGATGATGATGATGGTGATGGTGGTGGAAAAGTGGCAGACAGATGAAACAGCTATATCATTTCGATATGCCAAACACTCATATGGCAAATTCGAAAGAATAACATTCGCGAGACAGGCGAAGAAACGAAATCACACTTGCAGTGCGAGTCTCGCACACGTCGTATTTACGGACGAAAATGGTGATAAACATTGATTATATGTCTCATTCACAAGTGAAGATGCAAGCATTGAAGCAGCAAGTTGTATTTTTGTCCGGACACATACATACCTATTGAATATTTATGAAAATTCTGATGAGATTGTGTAATGACTTTCAGCACAGTTCACTCGGTTTCAATCGCATATGGTCGCAAAAGCTTTTTTTTAGAATATTGCACCAAAATGGGTTATTGGATACATAAACATACATGTCAAATTATATGCACTAATAGTGCGGCGCAAGTAACTGATGCCTCTTCGTTAAGTTGCATCTTCAGAACCAATATACTCGAAACATTTTCAGAGTTTATTTTTTTTCACACAAAAAAGAAAATCAATGATGCACCATGTAAATACTTTCAAGTGAATGGTATTTCTTCCGATGAAAAAAAGCCTGCAATGACGTTTTCTTAAACGAGAAAAAAAAACACAATGGTACATAATTTTCGACGACACTTTTTCGCTACTAGCGTATTTCTCTCTTCTCTAATGTTTTTTTTCTTGGTTAAAAATGCGGTGCAGTAGCACAACATGACTTTACTTATGGCATAGTAGATGGTATAGCTGCTGCAGCAACGCAAACATGATGTATTATTTGGAAAATTGTTAAATTTTCCCTACAGTGTGCTCGTTATTTTCTTCTTACGCGCGCTTTCGTTCGCTCGCTCGCTCGCTTCCTAATCGAATCTATATGGGCGGTCGTTTTTTTTCTTCCGTTCTCTACGTCTCCGGGTTGTGGAACCACAATTTATGTGCTTTTGCATCCCAGAAAGAAATTCCGAGGACTTCATTTTTGTGGTCGCGTTTATTTCCCATGTCGACCCACAACGAGACATTTTTTTCCTTGATAGATATTCATATTGTCGACATTATTTACAATAGAATATAATTTAGCCGAATCTCAATAAACCGCAAGCAAAAAAACGAACTCCTCTCGGATCGAATGCGAACGAAAGGGAAAGAGAGAAAAATGGCAAGGAATAAATCTACAAAACTTGAGAGAGAAAAAGAGACGGCAAAAACCTTCGTTAAACCAAAAGAACATTTTCGGCGAATTCTTCCAATGGATTTTTTTTCTTCTGCAAATGAACGAACGTACGAATGGACGAACCAACGAAATAATTTAAATAAAATGAAATAAATTCAAAATCCATGTATAAATTTTGAGCGAATAATCCATCTATAAAGAGATCCGGTTGGGGTATTTTCATTCATACCCACCCACTCCAGTGCTGCTGGAGCGGTTGTTCGGTTTCGTACAATGAGTTTTAGTTGCAATAGTCATTTTTTTCATCATTGACATATTTTGCCAGCTCGAGAAATGCACCAATAATTTAAAATTCAATGGGGATTGCCATCTTTAATAAATTATTCAGCGTGACAGAAAATGAGGGAGAGAGAGATGGGAAAGAAAGGACAAAAAAACATCAGCAGCAGCAACGGCAGACCAATGCTCTTAAATTTACGATTCATTCTTATCAATTTTTTCCTCTGCCTCTCTATCTCTCCCTCTGTAGCAGACCAGAACGAAAAATAACTTAAGACACCGTCCTTTAAATTGCAAATCGAATTCATCTATTATTTCAGGTTGTGCGTCGTAGTTGTCGCATTCGTCGTAGTCGTTCGCCAGAGCTCTCCTTGAATGTCTTTAGGTGGTTGTTATTAAATCGAAACGCCCAATACATCAGCAGATATTTGCTACTGGTATGCATAAGTGACGAGAGAACGAACTTGACACGTATAGCATGGATACTCGAGCATGAGTGGCCGAAAGAGAGATAGCCTCTTCTTCTTTTTTCTCCACACACTGAACCGAACGAGAGGCAGCCAAAGAGAGCGATTGAGAGAGAAACCAAGAGCAAGAGAAAGAAAACAACCAGCAGAAAATGTTGAAACGAATGAAAATTCGTTGAACGGACGACACTCGTAAAATAAATTTATTGCTCAGCACTTTATTTTCGCTTTGCATTCAGTCGTGTGCTTTTTTATGGCTGTCGTTCCTTTCAAACGGTTTTCGTTTAAATATACAACATTAACGACATCCATGAAAACACATTGATTTGAACTGCATAAAAAATCAAGTCGTTTTTTTTGCCTCTCCACATTTTTTGCTCTCTCTCTCTCTCTCTCTCTCTCTCTCTCTCTCCTTTGCAACAACAACCACTTTTTCTTCATCATCGTCTTCGTCGTTGTCTCCTTCTTCTTGTCGCTGTGAAATTGAAATTCAAATATCTTGTATGATGATAGCTTGCCTGCCTGGCCATTCGGTCAAGATGTAAAATGTGACAAATTCTATCGAGTGTATTTTTAACATTGATTGGAATTGCAGCAATTTTTGTGTGTTCATGAACGAAATCCGAGCTTTTGTATGGGCTAAAGCCGTTTTAGCACCATTACCTACATCAGCGCACTCTCTTTCATCGCAACAAAAACATAAATTTAAAATTTTCTGCTCCTCTCACCAAACGACAACAAATGTTACTTACATTCATTTAAATAGACGAAACGAAAACCGTTTTGTGTGCTGTTACCAATGTCTGCTTCAGCGACAGAGCAAAAACACACATCCACTTGTGTAATCGTTCTGCCAATTTCCAAGTACAAATGCAGCTCTTCGTCGCTTCCATTGCTCACTCAATTCGACATTCTAAACACATTTCTTCGGAACAGAGAAAAATACGCAATCGTTGATTTGATGGCGCCCATATTTTTTATCGACGTCTTCAGCTCAAATGTTGCAATCGAAAGAAGAGAGAAAAAAAACAGTACATTTTAAAATGACTCAAATAATCTGATATTAACTGTCATTCACATCCGACACACCGAATGAATACACTGTGTTTTCCATTCGTACATGCTTCTTGATTTTTCCTCGTTCTGCTTTTTTTCTGCACCGATCGTGAATTGTGTGAATGTTTCGCGCTCACGAAAAGGTTGTTTTTTTTTCATTCTTTTTCGATGACGGTGTTAACGCAAGACGAAGACCTATAAATCAATGATCCAAAATGAGAAATGTTCATTCGGAATGAAGTGAATGAATGAATTGTCGTTATACGTTGCGATGGGCGACGATTTTTATTGCGATTTTTCCCATTTTGTAATTTTCGCGTGCTTTGAGTTTTTTTGTTTTGTTTTGTCAAGCCTATGAAAGGAAACATCGCAACGACTCTGAACAAAAAAAAAAAACAGAAGCGAAAAAAAATGGTTTTTGTGATTGAAGCAAATGTGACGGAACAAAATGCAAAATGTTGAGATATTTCAAATAGAAAAAGAATCGAAAAAAAGGAGCGGCGCTTCGAATAGCGATTGAAATTGAAATTGAAAATAACGGCAATTTTTCCGAAGCTAACGCTTCCATTTCGATAATGCCAGAATAAATTCTCATTTGTCACGTAATCCGAAAATACGTCGTTCGTCACACAGATACACGAAACATTTTACCAGAGCTGAAGCGCGTTCGCAAAACCATTTTCCAAATACAGCGTCGTCGTCTTTTGACTTTTATTGTTTTCTTTATTCCCCGGTTCGCGCCTGTGGTTTCCTTTCTGTCGCTAGGGGTTACCCTATTTATCGGTATCGGTAAGCGGCACATGTTTGACTCGGCTGTTTAATTATACTAATTCGTGGTTCGCCCTTTTTCAGTTGGGAATTCACGCGGATTTTAAATAAAATAAAATGTCAAACTTTTCAAATTTTCTCACATCGATCTAGCCGAAAGAGAACGAAATTGATTCTAATGACAATAAACATTTAACAACGCCAACTGAGCATACCTCATTTGCACGATATCCATTTGCAGCGATGTCACCACCTAGAACACTAAATTTTTTTTTACTTGAGTAGAAATAAAACACAATTCCGTTTTTTTCACTTTTGAATTTTTTTGTTGTATATTTTTAGTTAATAATTGTGTTATTACAATGCGAGCGAGAGAAAAAAAAGATGATAAAAATAGAATAACGAAAGTTAAAATAAATAGATACAAATAAATCAATATGAACGGTTTTCTTTCCACATTCACTTATTGTTATTTTTTTTCCTCATCTAAATATTGACGAATTTGCATACTTTTATTTTTTATTGCTTTTGCGTCGATTCACTCATTTTTCTTTTCCTCTTTCCTCTGTGGTGACTAAAAGTATGTTTTTGTTCTGTTGTTGTTGTTGTTGTTGTTGTTGTTGTTGTTTTTTTTTATACATATCCATTCAATTTTTAGCTTAACAATACATATATACTTTTATTTATATATTCATAATTTTGTTTGATTTTATTTTCTTCATCTATGATAGAACGTGTACTTTCAACTATTTTCCCTTAGATTCATTGTCTGATATTTTTGTTGTTGTTGTAATTTTATTATCGTACATTAATATTGTAAATACATATATAAAATGTTGCGTTACTTGATAAAAGTTATCGTTATTATGTATTTTTATAGTTCTTCAGATCTAATATGAGTGTAACAATTGTGTGTGTGTGTGTGTGTGTGTGTGTGTGTGAGTGTTGTGTGTGTGTGGAATTTGAGTAAAAATGAATGATATTTATGAACATGGAAACGGTTTTCGATGTCATTGTCATATGCTAATAAATGTACGAATGTCGCTGACGCATATATTATTTCGAAATCGTAGCATTTGGCTAAAAATCGTTTAAAAACCCATACGTTTAGCGTTACGTGAGTGTAAACGATTGTGTTTTTTTTCTGTTGCTTCTTTCTATTTATTATTTCCATCGACCGACGACAAAAAGGACAAATGTTTCTATGTGTACGCATGAGAGAATTGGTGTATTTTTGTGTGTGGGGGAGAATTGATTGGTGCCTCTATAAAAGTGAGAATTATTTGGATTCCTATGAGTTTTAAGAACGCACGCGATGACGACATCAATCGCTGTTGTTTGCGCATTTTGGCAATTTATTCTGTCTTTTTTTTATTTGCGTCTGAGTTATGTGTAAAATCATTTTTTTTTTATTCTTATTTATCGGCGGATGGCTTCATTGTCTGGCCAGATTTCGACCAGAAACCATTTAAAACCTCTCACATTGTTATGCACACAGACAGGGTGCGTGGTTTTGGTTGAATTTCGATATTCCTATCTCTACCGCGGTATGTGATGGACATTTTCGATTTCGTGACAATCTATGACATGACGATTACTTAAGCTATTTATTCTAGACTAAAATTGGCTGTTTAACGTTTAAAATGTTGAATTTGATTTTGTTTTTTTCCGTTTCGTTTCGTTTCGTTTCATTCCAATGCCGTCTCACATCCTGACGCAAACAGTTTTCATATGATTGCCTACATTCAGCAGCTATATTTTTTTCACGCTGCTTTCGACTCCCATTTGCATATGATTTAAATAATAATTTATGAAATTTATTTACACTAAAAAACTTTTTACAAAAGTAATGTGGATGTTGTTGTTGACAGAAAGCAACTGGCAAACCGAAGAGAACAAACAAAGCGAAAACATTTTCCATTTGCTTTTTACTCCTATATGCTTCACTGCGTTTATTTCCAATTGTGTTTTTCTTTCTCTTTTTCTCTTTCTCACTCACTCTCTCTCTCTCTCACTCTCTCTCTCTCTCTCTCTCTCCCCCTCTCTCTCTCTCTCTCTCTCTCTCTCTCTCTCTCTCTCTCTCTCTCTCTCTCTCACTTTCTCTATACAAGTAAACTCATGCATTTCAGTTATATATATAGATCTTTTTACATTTGAACTAAATCGTTTAACAAATCACAGCATTACTGTTTGAATAATCACTCCCTATTTTCTGTTTTTGTTTCTTTTTTATTTCGGCCATTTTCTCTTCTCGAGTGCAGACGATTGTTATCGTATTTTCCGTTCGTTTCGTTTTTATTATTATTCTTTATCGAATATCAACACATTTTCTATGGTTCAACTGGAGACTCGAATTTCGAAATTTTGATTTCGTTTGATGCGTACCAATTCATTTTTCTAGTTCGTTGGGGATTTGGTTTTTATTGTGCACGGTTTATGCGCGTGCACATTTTTAGCTTGATAACAATGTTTGATTTAATAACCGATGACGTTACGAGTTATTCTTCAATGGGCCTGAAGATAGTGAACTGCTACTTACACCCGAATCACTGGACTTTTCACTCAATGCACCGCCACGTGATAATGTGTCATCGCCATTGCTACCCAACACCGTTCCACCGCCAAGCAAACCTTTCTTTGCCATTCGTTGAACACCCTTCATTGGAATGCTGCCAGTTTTTTCGTCTTTCATGCGACGTGCACTTTCAACACGCTTCAAAATTTCATTGGAACATTGAGCGACCACATCATCCAAACTGTTGGCCGATTCGTCGATAACCGTGTTTTGATGCGATTGGTTCACATTTGGGACGGGTGAACCTTCGTAGCAGCCTGAATCACGTGGAAAATGACGCCGTCCAAATGGTGATGTGCCATGCTTTTTGTTATTTATTTGATTGAAACGGGTCTCATCGTTTTCGGAACTTGAACCGGCCACATCACCATCGGAAATCACATCGATATCGTGCAACAGTTGAACGGCTGTCAACAATTTGGCACGATGATCGTTATTTATTATTCCCAAATAATCCAAATCAGCTGGCTCAAGCTCTTTAAAAAGTTCAAGATCTTCATACCTGAATAGAGCGAGAAAATTTTAAGGTTTTAATTAGTTTCGCTATTTAAACTTTGAGCCAGTAGTTGCCAGAATGTCTATGTGCAATCTATCTAAAGGACAATTTTCTCTCATTTCATAAATTGAAACCCAATTTCTAAGCAAGTAATCGAATGAAAACCATTTCCATTTAAATGTTAAAACTTTCAAGTCAAAAGTTGAAGGGAAAAAAAATCTTACCCATTGAGCACAAAAACCGACGTGTATTCCTTGAGGCCAATGCGAACCAACAAATCTTCGACGGATGTGGGAATTCCATTGTTGGCCCCTCGGCTAATTGTGTTCACATTATTGGCGCATCGTTGATCTGGTAACACTTCAACATTGATGAATTTGAAGTGACCCAAACGGCCATGGCATCTACCTCGCCAAATTCCCGATGCATTCATTGATATTACTTCGATTATATCACCCTTCTGCAAATGCAAATTAAGACGAGAGAAAAAAACAAATCACATCGCAATTGAGTAAAGCATATTTCACTAAAAAAAAATGTGTGCATAATCTATAAAGCCCAAGCCAAAACTAACCATAAAACGTAGCGCTTCTTTGTCATAAGAGCTCGGTAAGCAGTCAACTAAAGCTTTCGCTAAGCAAATCGGCTGTTTTAAATTGATGCGATCTTCAGATATTGAACTATTCGGACTACCGGGTCGCACAAGCGCTTGTGTGCCTGTTAAAAACCAAAATCATATTTAGTGGCGTATCTTAAGTGAACGATGAATATAGTTTCAATTCAATTGATTCAGTGTGAAATTTTGACATTTTTAATCGAAAAAAATACAATGCAAAAGCGAAATAAAAAACACTTACTTGATCCGGATGCACTGGGTAGACTTTCCACTGAGCTTGCCGAGCATGCAAACGCTTGATCGCTTATACTGCCTCGATCTGTATTATCCTGTGAATTGCTAAAATCTCTCGACACATCCTTGGCACCATTAAATTTTCGATTTGTTTCGTTGAACTTTTTCAATTCTTTTGGTGAGTTGCGCAAATCATTGGGCTGTTTTAAAAATAGAATTTTTACGAAAAATAATTAATGAAACGAGAACGGTTGTGAATGGGCGTGTGGATTTGTGTTGAAACGCAACAATACGACTGATTTTGCGACAAAAGTACCGGTCGTAAAAATCATTATCATTAACACAGTTTATGTAACGATGTCGAAGTGTGGCGCTTATTGACGTGGTTTTTATTGTTTCATTTTATTCTTTTGCTCTGGTGTTGTTGTTTTTTTGTGTGCGCCTCAGCTTAATCCACTGGCATTAGAACAGAGCATAAACGTCAACACCATCCGATTGTGCGTTTTTTTACGGCCAAGATTTTCTCGGACCGCATTGTTATTTTCACTTGTTCGCAACAGTTTAGTGGGGAAAAGCGGACGTTTTACGTCTCAATTTGTTGTAGAATTTACTGGAGTGTCGTGGTGGTCGTCATTCGAATGAGCGAAGTAACAAAACCAGTTTTAGTGATTATTCAGAAATGCAAAAGTGCACAAAATCACAAGTTTTACGACACAGTCATATAGTTTCGGTTATTCGTCGAAAAGGAAAGAAAAAAAAACCCATGAGCTCAAGCATATAGAGGTTGTCAAGTACGAGTCGAGTGAGGAATATATAGGTTCAATGGAAAGAATCTGACAACAGCAACTGGCAAGACTATAAAAATTGCTTACGAAGTATCGTCACGCGCTGGCACCAGGCATATTATTTGCAATCAGTTTTCTCGGGATTTTATTGCGAGCTGGGTTTTTTTTTCTCTTCGCTTTTCGTTCGTTCGAAGAACACACAAAATGTGCATGAAAGAGAAAACAGAAAATATAAACACAAGAGGTAATTATAAAGATTCGAATAGTGACACGCTTTGAGACTAGCGCTCTACACAAAACTGATGCTGCTGCTGCTGCTGCTGTTGTGCGGAAAATGCAAAAAGGGATGATATAACAATAAAATGAAAAACCGATTGTTTGCCTAATGTAAACATTAACAAAAATAACACAAAGCACCCGAGCCGAAACCGAGAAACGGAAATCACACGAAGAATTGGATCATTAACAGTCTCGCAGCAAATCTAGTGTAGTGTTTTATTTGCGCAAATGGATTCGGTTGATGGCATTGAATTGTGCCAAATGCGGATTCGAGTGTTCAGCTACAGTCGCAATAGTAATTGCACACAAACAAAAACTCTTCGATTCGCTTTAGTTTGCTATTCTTTGGAGAGGATTTCTCCCTTCCATTTGGGTGCGTGAAAAGCGTATATCCTTGTGTATGTTTGTGATTGGAAATCAAATACATAATTAGATTTTCCCTTTGCAATTGCTTCATTCGCGTATTCGAAGTACGTGCTTTTTTGAACTTTGTGCACGGATCGATATTTGCTCTCTCTCTCTCTCGCTCTCTCTGTGTGTGTTTGTGTACCCGTGAATTAGCGCAAGAAAAATCGAGAGTAAAAGCAACAGCAGCACACAGTAAACTTTGATTCGTTTCGATTTATCGAAGAACCTCAAAACGAGAGACGCAAACAGAATCTTTTGGTTGTTTTCACTACTTCCGGGGGATCATGGGTGAGAAAATAAACCAAAGTGTTTACTGGTTTGTGGTGTATGCAATCAGGAAAGACTGAACGTAAAAAAAAGCCAGTCAATTCGAAAACCCATCAACGCTACACACAAAATCAAATGGGATATTTGTTCCACTTAATACTCTTTGGGCTCGGTACCGAATGACATCAAATCGGAACACATCAAATGGATATATTGTTGCAAATTGTTAGTTCTACTTTTACTCTATGCATTTAAAATGAATGTACTTACATGATGCACGGTCACTTTTTGGCTAATTATGGCTCCTTTATGGGTTCCATTCCGTTTCGCTTTGTTCAAGTTGGGCAAATGCTGTTTCGTGATAGTCTCATCATCATCATAATCAGACGACGGGCTTGGTGACAACGATGGTGACTCTCCAATGCCACCGCTCAACGTGCGATACCGAGCTGTGCAATTATTCGTCCCGATCTGTATGTGTTTATATGCACATATTTTTTGTGATGTGGCCATGTGGTTGAATGAAAAGGAAATGAAACAAAATTAATTTAGATAGAGCTAGGAATACTTCGTCTATTGCCGCCAGATGATGGTTTGAAAGGCAAACGAAGAGCTGGCAGCTAATGAAAAGACGCATTGAGGTTCGAATTAAAAGAGAATCGAAAGTTTAATTGATTGAATTCGGTGGGGTTTTCGTTACTGAAAACTTTTCAAATGCTATATATTGACGATTGCTATTCTGCTGCAGTTGCGGTGTATCTGTGACTCTTTTTCTGTCTCGGTCGCATATTCCCCAGTGACAGTCAACGCTTTACGCAGTTGAATCAGTCAATGGGTCGTTCTTTGTTTAACTTTAACCGAATTAACCAAAGCCAAATTTATGCCATGTTTCTGATTCAATCAACAAACATGCAATTTTCACATAAAATCCACGCCAAAAAGTTTTTCGGCTGGTTGTGTGTTGCCAACCGTTACGGGTTTGCGCGATAGATATATATCCAGCACGTTTTCACGATTCGCACAAGAATAAATCGCCACGCACCTATTTCATATGACGTTACGCTCCTGATTACGGTCTGTATGACAAACATTTGAAATTCGCAAAGGACCAGATAGCAAAGAGTGGGCCGTAAACGCTATGCTATGGATGAGCAAAAGCATACATATCACATGGAACATGCGAATTCCCTGATTGCGTACAAATTTGCTATATTTGAGTTTTTGAGCACGATTAATGGTTGGCTGATTTTTCCATTTATTTCCTTTTTTCTCCCTCTCTCTCCCTTTCGGTTTGGCTCTCGAGCATTTGCAGCATTTTTCGCAGTATGCATTCACACAGAGTTCATTTCTAAATTCGTTTAACTTGAGCTTGACAGCATGAAATGCCATAACAAATTCAAATGACTGAGCAGCCCGCAACAGCAACGGCACACAAAAAAAAACGAACACTGGTAACAACAAAATGTTCACCAAAAGCCGCAAAACGAAGTGATTATTCGGAACAAAAGGCGGGTGATTTCATTTGAATTGTCATCATGCGTTTCATTGTGTGCATTTCAGAAATGTGTTCATTTTATGATGGCGACAATGATATTCCGCTCAGCCAGCCGGGGTGCCAGTCGTCGTCGATGGCAGCAGCAGCAGCAGCAGCAGAGAGTTGGTTTTGAGCTTAGGTGCCGATGACGTTAGCAAATCTGATGGCATGCAGCACGTATAACTTGTTATCGCATGATTCGTATTTGCGATTGCGAACGATGATGTGTCATTGTGGTTGGCATTTTGTGCAGCCAAATATGAAATGAATATATAATTATGAATGCATTTGATTCGCTGTAACCTCGACAAAACCAAGAGCAGAAAAAAATCGACCATAATCATGTAACTCTCTCGATTTAAAACAAAAACCGAAGGGAAAAAAAAACATTCAAAAAGTTTCCAGATGAAATCAAATGGTTCACACACACACAAACTCATGCTGGTAACCCCAAAAATCAGCAACGTCCCTTGCTGTCACAACACAAAAGAAAGCTCATTATTTTTGTTAATGAGAAAATAATACGCACGATTTAATGAACTTGGAAAACAAAGTTTTCTTACGAAACATTTCAATAAATTCATTAGAGCGTACACAAATCGACGTACCCACACCGTCGAAGTAGCTGAACGATAAACGGGCAGTGTCAATAAATCTATCGAACAATTCATCATCGCCGGAATTGGCCTCGCAACGCATGGCAAGTTAGTTTGGTGTTTTCTTTGATTGAAACAACATCGAAAACTAAATGGAATAACTTTTGAATGAAAACAATTCACCGTTCGGTGAATGCAATCCATAGAAGAATGAGAACCGAAAAAAAAAACTTCGAACCAAGTTTGAACTATTGGAAATTAAATATAAACATTGGCTCGGCGACCAACGCAATTCTGATGAGCAGCAATCATTACATTTCTGTTTTCTACTTAAAGTTAATGGCTTTTACATTATATTGCTGCGGTTTTTTCTCTATTCTGTTCGAGCTGTTCTTCTGCAGCAATTTTCTCTTGTTAAATTGTAAAAAGGTTTGCGCTGTGGCAAAGTTTCTCACCGTTTTTCTATCAATTTATTTTTCTTAAGAAAAGTTTTCTTTACTTGTTCATTTTTCTGCTTGTTATCTCATTGTATTACATGGCTGTGATGATGACGGCGATGAAGAATGGCAAGTTAGAAACCGGCATTTAAATTAAAATCCATTTCACATGCAATTTTCATATCCATCATTTCAATTTTCTTCTGTTATTTCAGCGGTTAAGCTTTCATATTATTTTTTCTAATGAAGAGAATGTGAATGAAAAAACAAAGAGAATTAAATCGATTTTCTTGCTCTTTTTCCCAGTGAAATTGTTTGCTCTGCCATTTATTTTTCCATTTCTTCGAAGAAATACATTTTTATCGAGCTCTTGAGAAGAACATTTTTATCTACATTGACTTTGATATTTATAGCTAATACAATTCTTTTCATCTATTTGATTGGATTACACTTCGTTTGAAATGGAGAGTCAATGGAAATTGCCAGTGCATGCGATGAGTTAAATTCATATTCATTTTCGAGCTGAAATGAGGTTAATTCGCATCTTTTTGAATGCAACCACAACTGAAAACGATCGAAAGTGTTTGAATAAGTGAGTTAAAATTAAGCTATTTTTACAGCAAGCAGAGATAAAATAGTGGATAAAATGAGAAATTTTTGATGCCGAAAAAAATAACCGACAAGACAAAACCATCAACTCACTCGCTGTATCAAGATAATGAATGAAAAGTATTTAAAATCGAGTGAAACAAAGTTGAAAAACCAAAATCACAAAAACTTTTTCGTCCCGCACAAACCGCATGCATTTTCCATAATGAAAATGAGAACGGTTTAAATGCGTACAACAATTATCCGCCAAGGTGCCCGCATCTTCAGTAAAATTGTTCAAACAGTGGAAAATTCGGAAAACTTTTAGTTTAAAATGTATTTATAAATGCATAAACACGAGCTCGTTCGTTCGTGGAGAGTGCGTTGCTTTGGCTTGGCTGTGTAGGTGTACAGCGATAATTTTGCATATTTTTCGAAGCGCTCGCTTAAACATAGCGATGCGATTTTCTTCACCAATATAGCTGTTATGAATATTCTATTCTGCAACAAGAAGCTGATGGTCGCACGATAAAACCGCTTCGGCTTATAAACTGAACGCGGCTCTCCGTTTCGTGAATACCTTTAGCCGATGTGAATTTCCAAGAGTTTGCTTGCCGGTTAATTCTTGCTTAAATTTGTATTTGTTGATACAGACGCACACACGCATCGAGTGTTTTATTCACGAAACCATCCCACTTTTAACATCCGCAGTATTCACCGAAGGGAAACTGCGGCATTGATGTTTCCAATGGAAAAATGCAAACCCATGGAAGAGTTTACAAATTGTGTACCAGCAGCAACAGAAGCAGCAGTAGCATAAGCTCAGCCGACGACGCCACCACCATAACTGGAGTCAACAACAGTAGCAACGTTGGTTTTCAACTAATTTGGCTTAACAACACATACACAGCAGCCAGCAGAATATTCTTGAAACACATTTACTTAATAAATTAAATGAAAATTTTAAATTACTTACGGAAACGGTGCTAAGTCTAGAGGTAACACTTTGTATATCGGAAATGGAACCAGCATAATCACCGCTCTCTCGATCATGATGAGTTCTGTGTGAATGGATCGCAAAGCAGACGAAAATTATTTTTCATGGCATCAATATAGATGGATATATTTAATATAATCATTAAGCTACAAGAAAAACCCAGAATTGGCAATAAATTTATGCAAAATTAAATCACAGCCAGCCTGTTGATAGTCTGTCCTCCATCTCTCTCTCGCTCTCGCTCTCGCTCCCGCACTGATTTCGTTGTCAAACCAAGCGTGAATTTCTCTAAATTGGATCAAATTAATTCAACCGCTGTACAAAATTAACTTACGTCAACTGCATTCGCGCAACACTAATTAAAAATTCCTTTTAGTTTTTTTTTCACCGTACTTATGAAAAATGTGTCCGGTCCGGAATTTATCATTCCTTCAACAAATAAACACAAGTTAAAGGTAAACTTTGAGTATTTCTTATCACACCGACGCACACGACAAGCTGTTTTCTTCTTGCGTTGTGTAAATAAAGATTCATGCGAAAACATTGCAGCGCATAGTTTCTCCTTCAATGGCAAAGAAGGAAAAATCATTAAAACGTTTACAAATTGCTGCAATTTCCGCACAGAAGTTTATCAACGGAATAAGGTTAACAACGCGAAGCTCATTCGCGAAATTTATGAACATTCTGTTGAAATGTGTGTTTTGTTGTTAGCCCAACATGTTTTTGTTTTACAATGCCACTGTAGTTTGTATTTATCATTTTTCATCGTGTTATTCATTAACAAGAAGAATGTGCTGTGTGTTCGGGCTTCAGGAGCAAGTTATTTGAACAGAATTTTTTCACATAAATAACATGACGCTTTTGCTTGTGCTTAAACTCGGCTACATTCTGATCGGTTTGCTTGAAATTACTGAGAGCTTTGCTTGTGCAAGTCTTGAACAAAGTGAAAAAAAAGAGGATTCCAATGAACGAAAATAATCACGAATCGAGCTCAGCTCACTGACTAATTTGATGCACTTTGCAGTATGTAGAATAGTAAAAGCGTTTTCTCTTCTTTTTACAACAGTAAAATAAAGTATTCCAAATCTGTGGATTAATTTTAATGAGGATTTGTGCGAAACTACAAAGCAATTTAGCTTCAGTAGATTCATACTTTATCGAAATTCATCTTCGACTCGCAATCAACAACGTATTCAATTCCAATGTATGCAAAAGTGCTAATTAAGAAAATGAGAAAATTAACTGACGTCAAGACATTTGCACATTATCTTCGTGTTACTAGGTCGGCAGGTTTCAAGTATGTCGATATAAAAACCCACAAACATTTTAACTAGTGACGTAAAACTGGTTTTTATTTCCAAAAAAAAAGAGTTTGTTGATGATTCTCCGTTCAATTTTTGGTGCACAAGTGTTGACACTTGGCCATACTCAAACAAATCAGAATGAGTTGTCGCACCAACCGAAAATTCTAATTATCCTTACTTCTTTGCCAGGCGGAAATGTCAAAAACTTTTCGCATAAAGTCGATGCGATTTGTTGGTAAACCAATTTTTCGACAGCATCATCACTTCTCCTTAAGTGTGCTGATGAAATAGGTAGAACGTATTTCGTTGTACAGAAATAATTCGACCATAGTGCATGCGTTCTAGTGTATGCGTGCGCTCTTCAAATTCGTTTAATTTTTGATATTCCGAGAGGGAGCAAGATGAAGAAAGAAAAGCAGTACGGCAAATAAATAATAAAGTGATAAAAAAATGCGGTAATAAACAAAACTTTTCCCACAAAAAAATCTTTTTTTCTCAGCTTTTCCGCTTTCGTTTTGTGCGGTGATTCCATTTGCGAAGAGTGTATAAGCCGTTAAGAGTTTTTGTTGGGGTAAGAAAAAAAATTATAATTCTTTATTTGCAATATCTTGTTTTTTTATTCCGGAGTTTCGTAACACGTGCTCGTCACCGCCATTTCAAACCATCACTTGGTTATGGCTTCTTTTAAGCACTTTTAACCATGATGCATCACTTTATTTCGGCCGAATTTATGTCTGGTGCGGCAGAAAATGTATCACATTTTGTATACAAAATGTAGCTGCCTGTTTTTCATCATCATCCGAACGAAATTCAAAATTGGCCCATTTTCTTGTGGTGGCCCTCGATTTCGAATCGAACCGACGAGCAATTTCTTGAATGTTTCTTTTGATGTGTAATTTTCCATTTCGGTTTGCTTTGTTATTTACCTGGTGAGTGGTATTATTGTTGGTGGATTAGGCGGCTGCTGCGGTACGATAAGACCACGTCTAGTTGGTACACGTTGTGGTAGTGATATGTCACCAGCCGACCTCAACGATATGATGCCGGTGCCGCTGCGCATATCATCTCCATTTGGATGCGATGTAAAGCAAACTCGGCCACCCTATTTAGAAACATAAGAATAGGAAGAGAAAGAGAGAAAAAACGAGGGAAAAAAAGCAATTTAATATTGGATTCCGGAATTATAATACGAAACTTCATCAAAATGAAGAGCGTATGAATAAATACACATTATCGTAATTTACAACATCACACGGTCCATCCGGAGCAAAGTTGCCCAGCATTGGATATATGGTACACAAACACACAAGCAATTCACATAAAATGTTATAAAATGCCGTGCATATTGTCTCGGGCGCTCTCCCACACACTGTTTCCTTTTTTTACGATTGAAGATAATCTGTATCAGCATAAGAAATCGGGTTTTCGCCCTTTTCAAGCAATAAAAGCAATTGGGACAGCTAGTGGTCAAACCTAATGCCGAATACATCCAAGTTCACAGACACTATTCAATCTGATTCTGTAAATTTCAACCTTTCAGTTCTGGTGAATTTTCATTTGTATTTTTGGAGAGAAAAAAACATTTCAGACGTCTGGATACTCCTCTGAAATAAATGAAATCGACATTGAAATATTTAGATAGCGTACAAATGAAGAGAAATTGAAATCGGATGTCGCAGATACGCCACAAAGAATATAATTATCATTTGATCCAGACCAATCAAAGTGGTTAATCGTAGTGAAATTTGGATCCTTTGCATAATTTTCTTTGATTTTTCACCGTCAGCCATCGTTGCGCTATAGCATTCAATTTCACCAGCATCTTGGAATTGTGTCCCGAACACGGCGTAATCAACGGTTGTGCTACATTCAAAGTGTTTCATGTTGAATATTCCATCACGATAAGCTGCTTTCATTTTCGGCGCTCCTAGTATGCCATGAATTTCATTTTATCTTGTCATAATTTGCATTGTTTGTCGTCGGGTGCACAAAAACAATCGGCAGAGATGAGCTAATTTGAAGGCAAGTGCTCGAATGCTGTGCTCGGCATACGCGCCAGCGAAATTGTGCGATAAAATCATATAAAATCATATTAAATACAGCACAGACAGTGCGACAATGTAAAAGGAGAGACGAAAAAGAATGAGAGGGAAAAAAATTATTTATAAATTACGTAAAACACGATAATAATGCTGGAAAATCGCTGCGCCACATACAACGCACAATGCAACGCAAATCATTTTCATGAAACATCGTATTTTAAACAAACGAACAAATTTTCTTTGTGTCTGACAAAGATGTAATTGAATATGCCTTCGCCGGGGAAAAATGATTTCATGTCGTTGTTTGAGTCAACACCGGGGCTCTTGATTCACTTTTTTTATGTGCACATTTAAGCAAACATTTATTTGTCTCCAGGTTTTTTTTTCGCTTTCGCTCGTTGTTCGTTCATTTTCTGGTTCTTGTTGCCGCTGCTGTTGTGATTGTTGTTTTCTTTTGTTTTGCCATTTCTTGAACGATTTAAATGTTACGCGATACTACAGTCGTGTGCATGCAATTCGACACGGCATTTTCAGCAATTTACAAATAAATCTTGAGCTCAAGACCATTTTAACATTTCCATTTGCCGGGGATAGAGAGAGAGAGAGAGAGAGAGTGTGTGTGTGTTTTAGCTAGCAGTTTTTTCCCGTTCTTGCTCAGACCCAATTTGAGCTCACCATCGTTTACAATGTACGCTAACTAGCTCAATCATTATTCAAATCGGATTTTGTCATTTTGTTGTAAACAACAACAGCTCACTGACAAACCGGGAAACACTGACTGAGCGAACAAATAGAAAGAAAAAACAGTACGTTTCATCATTTCCGAAATAAATATTGTGTAATTTAATGAGTTGCTTTTCGTGTTTATCTTTTTATGGCTCCAAAATTCAAATGAAATCATTGTCGAGAGTATAGAGATTTCCTTCGCAACACAACTGAGTGACAAACAATTTGTTAAATCGGAATTGTGCTGCATTTCGCGTTAGAATGGAAAATGTAGACAAATTTGAGCATCAGAATCAGAAGTAGATGGCCTACACTGTGTGTAATTATTTCAATTGTTTTTATGTTTTGATGAAAATTCAATTTGATATTTCCATTTTTATAGAAACGCTTCGAAGCGATCCGTTTGTTTTCTAAGTTATTTATCCCACTTTTATACCATACTTTGTTTTCTCTCCATACTTTTGATATATTTCATCCATTTTTTCCAGTATAAAAATTATACTAAGGAAAAAAGAAATCCAACAAAACTATCACAAGAGTTGGAAGGCGCCCGTCAAGTGACATAACTCAAGCCAGACATATCCTTAAACTGGAATGTGCTTTGATTTAGAGTAAGCAAAAAGATGCCGTATCATCTGATTCTAGTGACATAACCGTTTTAAACTGATTTCTTGAGCGTTGTTCACCTAATTGGATATGATAAAAGAGGGTGATTTTTAGTTGAGCAAACATTATATATATTTCCATGCATAGGGATGGATTGTGTCAAGTTCTCCTCCTTCAATTTTACGATTGGAATACTTTGAGAGCGATAAAGAAAGAAAAACGTTGCATTTGAAATGGTTCAATCCGACGAAGATGTAAGCTATAAAATTCTTATTACTTTGTAACCCATATAATTTTTTCCCATTGCAGCGACGAACAATTTTGAGGAAGAGGTAAAACGTTTGCAGACATACACATCCACACGCACAAACAAGTCAAACATGCGACAGAGACTTTAGCCATATCACAAAATGATGTGCATGTGGCGTGTGTCGCAATCTCTTAGTCAGGTACATTTTTTTCACTCTGGTTTAGTTGCTGTGTACGGAAAAGAAGCAATGAAACATAAACACAAGACGTGAATGCCAAAGATATGTTTGCGAAGAAAATTTAATGTTTTATTCGTCGGTTGTTGATACTTCTGCTGGCTATAAAGAATGCATTGACGTTTACTACGAATTTCAATTCAATAAATTTGTCAAATAAAATGTGCGCGCACGCGAGAGAGAAGCAAGCAAGGAAGCAAAACTCAAGACGGAAGAAATGGTTTAGTGAAAAGAGCGGGCGCATAGTGTGTACATGTAGTTCGTTTCATTTATGTTAGCTCTCATTTGGATGGATGACATGCCACATACATGGATTGTTAGATATGCAAAACAGTCAAAAGTTTCCAGTCAAATCTCATATGATTGAGTCGCGCACACAGTTCTATTACCACAATTGTAATGCTCTCGAGTATTTTCTTTCAATCATCTCGGTGTGTTTTCGTTCGTTCGCTTTTTTTTCTCTTTGCATTTCCTATTTTCGCTTCGCTTTCGGCTGCAATCATAATAACCGCTGTCAACAAGACTGAAAAAGCATGAATTTTTTACATCGCATTCTCATAAGCATTCTCCATTCGGCGAGACCGATGTTGCGGTAATGCGACGACGACACCAAACAATTTAGCAGAATTTGTATTCGAAATTGAATCAAAATGCAAAGTTATTATTCTCCATTCGCAATAAAAGTAAACGAATGCCATATCAACTGAATGAATATGGAGGAGGAGGAGCAGGAGGAGGCGGAGTGGGAGAGTTGTGGGAAAACGGGAAATTTTTTTTTTATCAAATTTTCTTCATGCAAATCTTGACATTCAAGACGGCCTGGATATTCGTGCAATGTTGTTTTTTCTGTGTCCCCTTTTTATTCCATGCCATTTCTAAGAAAAGAGTTAAAGTTTGTATTTGTATCCTTTGGGCATATCGCAGCAGCGTCCAACTTTTCGAACAAGAGGACAATTGCGATAGCCATGTCTTCAAGCTGCTTGAACCCACCATATATATACATTTGTGGCTAATTTTTTTTTTCTTTCATATTCAACTTCTCAAATTCATGTTGGTTCTTCGAAAGAAAGAAAAAGAGAAGAAGAGAGAGAGATTTCATTTCCATTCTCGTTGGCCTCACTTCTTCTGCTCAACTGAAAAATTTAAATGTTGACTATTTGAATTTTCCATCGCATGCACGAATATATTTTTCACTCACGTCCACTTTCGTCTTCGTCTTCTTCTTCATCTTCATCTTTTTTCTAGCATGAAATTTCCATTTTAAAACGAAAATTATTTTGAATAGCATTCAATGTTCTTCAGTGGAACTGGCAACTGTGAATAAAATGTCAGAACGTGGCCAAAAAGTCAACTACAACTACATATATAGTGTAGAACTTCTTTATTCGAAAATTTTTCGGGGTTGAATATATACGAAGACCGACGACCAACCGTTCGATATGGAAAACGAAAACGACAAAAGCATATAAATGGAACAATAACATAACGGAAAACTTCAATAAAAAAAGCTTCTGTCTGTTTAACAATTCTATTATTATACAATTTCAAACGCTTTGTAATTTGATGTAGAGTTTTCGATGCTTTTTGGCTTTTCGCTTAAAGCAAACCGTTTCAGTTTCTCTTTGGCTCACTCGCTTCCTCTATCCCGCTTTGACTTTTATTCAGACACTGAACGAGAGTTTTTCTCCCTTCTAACCAAAGAAGCCGACAGCATATTTATATTTAAAAGGAAGAAATTCGCATCGGATTATTTCGTTTTGCATCGCATTCAGCGTTGCTAGCATATCAGTGAAAACGCGCGAAGGTTATTGTCATTGTTGAATTTTGTTACGCATAAAATTCAAGTGAAATTTCAGCATTTTTTTTTTGTGCCAGCATATGCAAAGCAACTGGCAAACGGCATGCGACATAAAGGCCACATTTTTATGGGAAGCGTATTGAAATGAAGAACTTAATAAAATTAAAACTACACAAAATATTGGAATTGTGTGCTGCAAAAAATAGGTCATTTCAAGGCGATATGAAGCAAACGATGTGAACTCATACAAACACTCCAGCTCGAATGAACGAAAAAGAATCTGGTTGGTGTAAAACTGTCTGTATTCAAACTTCGAAGTTAAAAATGAAGAAGACGTGTGCTGGCACAGCAATTCGTGACCATATCAATTGGAATTTCTATTATGATAGTGACAAACAGAATATAACACGAAAACTCGCAAAGATTGTTCCCAATTTTTTTTTCT